AAGGATAATCAACAACAATCAAGGAAATATTATATTAAGATAACTATTATATTTGTCTACAATTACAGTTTTAATTAAAGATACTTATAACAATTAAGTTGATTCTCAAATTAATTTTTCTGAAACGTATCAATATCCTTCAGATATTGTTAATTGTATCATCCACAGTAATTAACGTTTATTAATTGTGAAAAACACTTTATTAACTTTGAGTTACGTTAACAATTTAAACCATCATTGAATTTAATTAGGAATCAAATTGAAGATTCAATGTTATTTTGTTTCTTCAATAGTAATTTGGTTAATTGTCAAGTGTAGGTTCACTTTTACTTTGATTAAATTAGTTAATTGTTGGAGGTTTACTTTTAGTTTAAACTCAATAAGGTGTTGATATTGAAAGTTTGAATTTGGTAGTGAAATCAAATCGTAACAATTAAGTAAGAAAAACTTTTGATTGTTTAGTTTTGAATATGTTTTTCGGCTTTAATTAATTAACAATTAACAATGATAAAAATCGTTGATTGTGATTAACTTGATAATCAAAGGGAATAATAGAGATGAGTGATTAAGGATATTTACTTATTTGTCTTGGTCTTTCTTTATATCAATCATTTTGATGTTGTTTTGATTAATACAATCAACAATTAATTGAGTTAATCTAACAACAATATATTGCGAAAAAAATTCAACAGTTAATCAATACAAGTTAACAGAAAGTAATTATCGCAATGATGATTAAGGATGATGATGATTATGATAACCTCAATTAACTATTGAACAATTTATCGGTTCATCGATTAGGATGATTAGTACAAAATTTAATTTCAAATTAAGAAAAAAATTAATAGCTTACCTTCAGTTGAATTAAAGGATTTTCATTAAGATAATTAAGATATTGAATCCAGTTATTAGTTAATTGTTAGTTAATGATAATCTCTATTGACAATTATACATTAGACTAATTAGATTCATTTGGAAATTTGATTAGTTTAATTTAGTTTTTTAATGAAAAAAGTTTCAACTGATTAAGTTATCATTAGTTAATAAAAATTTACTTATTGATGGACTGGTTTAACTGTTAACTTGTTAATTGTTGTGTAAATTGGTTTTAATTGTATCATATCCTGTTAAATATTGACCTGAAGATATTAATTTAGTTAAATTGAAGTGATTACTTTTTGTTTGTGCTCATTGTTTATGGTTAACTCATTTTAACAATTTGTTGTTAATCAATCAATTTACTTGATTATCACCAATTTAACAGTAACTGATACAGTTTAATTTTCAGCTTGTTAATTATTGTGAAAATTAATCAAATTGGAAACAGTTTAACAATTAGTAACAAGAAGTAGCAAAAAAAAAAGTTAATTTTCCGTGGTGAAGTTAATTGTGATAATTGTTTAGTTGGTACATTCAGTTATTATTAACAATTATCATTGTTTTAATGTAAGTCTCTCAATTTAGATTTAATTGATTAGCCATAAATACCAATCAGTATCAATGAAAAGTTAAATTGTTCAACTGATTTTCATTGCGATTCCAAACAAGACTAACAACTTCATCTAGTGGAGGAAAATCAAGTTAAAGTGATGAAGGTATTGAATTTTGTTGTTAATCAATTGTTTGGATTAAAATTATTAGAGAAATTAGGATTAAAAACAAAGGTGATGACAATGATTATGGTGATGGAAATACACTTAGCTCAAGTGCCTCAAGATGAGCATTAAAAATACATTGAGGCCTATGAGCTTAGATTCATGACTGCTAAGCAAATTTCGAAATCTTGTATTAATAATTTGCATGGATTCGAAGTAGATTCTTGGGTAGATGCAAATACAATGAGCCTTGAGTCCCATCGGTGCTACTTAATCTTGTTAAGTAATCAATCTGATTGTAAATCTCTGACTATTTAGCGAGAAAACAATCACAAGAGATATTAATCAACGAAGCTATTGTTAACCATAATAACTATTGTTAAAATTTCTCAGAATTGATTGACTCATCCCGGATTAGCGATGATAATTATATGATTAAATTTATTAGTAACTTGCGTATAAAACTCTCATTAGTTGAACAGATATGTCATTAAGAATTTAACTACTCATCAACTATAAGATTCAAGGAATATTATCTAGTATTTTGCTCAAACATGAAAGTTTTTTTTGTACTTTTCTTCTGTTTATCATCGGTCTGTGGAGAATCCATTGCTCGTAAAAGTGTTGATTCATTAAATGGAACTGACTATCATAATGAGTTCGAACCTGAGAAAAATGGATATCGATTCAATGAGACTGATTATTACCACGAGTACGAACCGATGAGAAACGGAACTGGAAATGGAATCAATGAGACTGATTACTACCACGACTTCGAACCTGAGAAAAATGGAACTGGATATCGATTCAATGAGACTGATTATTACCACGACTTCGAACCAATGAGCAACGGAACTAGCTATCGATTCAATGAGACTGATTACTACAACGAGTTCGAACCTGAGAAAAATGGAACTGGATATCGATTCAATGAGACTGATTACTACCACGAGTTCGAACCAATGAGAAACGGAACTGGATATCGATTCAATGAGACTGATTACTACCACGAGTTCGAACCAAAGAAAAATGGAACTGGATATCGATTCAATGAGACTGATTACTACCACGAGTTCGAACCAAAGAAAAATGGAACTGGATATCGATTCAATGAGACTGATTACTACCACGAGTTCGAACCAATGAGAAACGGAACTGGATATCGATTCAATGAGACTGATTACTACCACGAGTTCGAACCAATGAGAAACGGAACTGGATATCGATTCAATGAGACTGATTACTACCACGAGTTCGAACCAAAGAAAAATGGAACTGGATATCGATTCAATGAGACTGATTACTACCACGAGTTCGAACCTGAGAAAAATGGAACTGGATATCGATTCAATGAGACTGATTACTACAACGAGTTCGAACCTGAGAAAAATGGAACTGGATATCGATTCAATGAGACTGATTACTACCACGACTTCGAACCAATGAGCAACGGAACTAGCTATCGATTCAATGAGACTGATTACTACAACGAGTTCGAACCTGAGAAAAATGGAACTGGATATCGATTCAATGAGACTGATTACTACCACGACTTCGAACCTGAGAAAAATGGAACTGGATATCGATTCAATGAGACTGATTACTACCACGACTTCGAACCAATGAGCAACGGAACTAGCTATCGATTCAATGAGACTGATTACTACAACGAGTTCGAACCTGAGAAAAATGGAACTGGATATCGATTCAATGAGACTGGTTACTACCACGACTTCGAACCTGAGAAAAATGGAACTGGATATCGATTCAATGAGACTGATTACTACCACGACTTCGAACCAATGAGCAACGGAACTAGCTATCGATTCAATGAGACTGATTATTACCACGACTTCGAACCAATGAGCAACGGAACTAGCTATCGATTCAATGAGACTGATTACTACAACGAGTTCGAACCTGAGAAAAATGGAACTGGATATCGATTCAATGAGACTGATTACTACCACGACTTCGAACCTGAGAAAAATGGAACTGGATATCGATTCAATGAGACTGGTTACTACCACGACTTCGAACCTGAGAAAAATGGAACTGGATATCGATTCAATGAGACTGATTACTACAACGAGTTCGAACCTGAGAAAAATGGAACTGGATATCGATTCAATGAGACTGATTACTACCACGACTTCGAACCAATGAGCAACGGAACTAGCTATCGATTCAATGAGACTGATTACTACAACGAGTTCGAACCTGAGAAAAATGGAACTGGATATCGATTCAATGAGACTGGTTACTACCACGACTTCGAACCTGAGAAAAATGGAACTGGATATCGATTCAATGAGACTGATTACTACCACGACTTCGAACCAATGAGCAACGGAACTAGCTATCGATTCAACGAGACTGATTACTACAACGAGTACGAACCAATGAGCAACGGAACTAGCTATCGATTCAATGGGACTGATTACTACCACGAGTTCGAACCTGAGAAAAATGGAACTAGCTATCGATTCAATGAGACTGATTACTACCACGGGTACGAACCAATGAGCAACGGAACTAGCTATCGATTCAATGAGACTGATTACCTCGATGAGTTTGAATCAACGAGAAACGAGTCTCACTATGGCAAATTTTATGATCTATTTGAGCAATTCAAGAATGAGATTCATCGCGCTTTCAATATGATCAAAAAAATGTCGAAATTGTCTGAGTACTAGGTCAGTCATAAATGTCATCAAGCTCAACTACACCTCGTATTACAATTTTGTCTAATAAAAATTAAATATTTTGCATCTAAAGTGTCGACACTATTTTCACATTTTTAGGTTTCAATATTTCTTAATACTGAAGAATTTTAAAATTTAACAATTCTTAATATAAAATGTTAAGGTTTAGCAATCAAAGTTTATTAAAATTATCAGATGATATGAAAATGACAAGGACACATGGGTGTCCCACAGAAACTCCTCCGATCAGATTCGTATCTGATATATCGATTAGATTCTGGAAGCAATTGTCATAATAAAAATTCATAATTATCAATTAAAGTTACCAGCAGTAATCAATACTTTTAGTTACAAAAAATGTTTCCCAAAAACACTGTAACAATGAACAATTGAATGAGATAAAAATCGTTTTGATTTAGTTATTGATCAAACACATGAGCGAAACATGAAAATTAAATGATTGAACTTTTGTTTTTGATTATTATGGATAAACGAAACTAACAACTCCATCTATGTGAAGGAAAAGCGTTGAATTTTTTTTATCGTTATTTCAATCGGTTGAATTATTAATATTTGCGGTATTAAAGCTCAACATTGATAATAATTATTGATTTTCATTCATCGCATACGTTTGAGGTTGGGATCTCGGGTTCGGTCAAGGATATTAATGGAACAGTTAATCATTCAATAGATTAACAAGTTATGATAAATAATCAATTTAAGTTTTATTGAAGTGATTTCGGTTTAACCAAAATGGAGACAGACAAAATAGACAGAGTTTAAAGAGAAATGGATTGAGAGAGATAAATGAAAAAAAAAGAAATAGGGATGAAGATAATTGGAAGAATAAGGATGAGATGATGATGATGATGGATGGACAGAGAAGAGGTGAGAGAGAGAGAGAGAGAGAAAGGCCAGTTAGAGTTGACAAATTGAAGGAGAGAGACTATGAATTTGAATTTGATTGTAAAGTTAATTTGTAAATCAAATTGTCTTTCAGCATTTAAACGTTGGTTGATTTAAAATTTTTGGTCTCAATGAAATCCACTAGGAATGATTGTTTGATTTGATACAATTGCCAATCTATTATTGCTGGGAATGTGTTGGTGTACCAATAAAATGAATGTCCCCTGAAAAAGAAATGTAAGAAAAAAAGAAAATTAGATTTTAAGGTGGAGGAATAAAAGATGAGTATAAGGAAAAAAAGTTCATCAGAAAACTCAGTTCAAGTTATATTTGTTAGAAGATGAAAATCCAAGAAGGTGTAGAGATGATGATGAGAAGAAGAGTTAATAAGAAAGTGAATTAGAATGAGATTGAAGAGATAACTAAATTGGAAAAGTGATTATATGAGTCAAGTATCTAGAAAGAAAACATTGCGTGGGCGATGAATTTGAGGCCTTTTTCATGATGAAGACTCATCAACATGAGAAAACAAGAAATTGCATGACAATGACAGAGAAATTTCAAGAAAGAAAGAAAGAAACAGATAATTATGGAATAAGTAATCAAGAAAATGAATGATCATGAGAAGAGGAGGAAGATAATTAGCTGATTCGAATAATCATTTTCATGTGTATTCTAAAAAAGTTCATATTGAGAAATTAAGATGAAGAAACTTTTAATCGAGAATGAAAAAGTTTCTTTCAACCAACCAATTCAATAAGGCGAATCGTTGAGGCTCGAGATTGAGATACTTTTGACATTATCAAGATAGATCATCATCTCAATTCTAGATCATAATGAAGCTCCTACTCCTCTTCCATCATGAAAATCATCATCATTTGACAAAAAAAAATAACAAAAATCATGTCAACTGTGATTATATGAAATATGAAAGGAAAAAAGAAACAAACAAAATCAAAACAAACTCTTTTTTATCATCAACTCATGATATTCATTTTTCTCTTGGCAATCATCCAAGATGAAGTATAATTAACATGATGAAAAAAAGTTTCCATGATTTTGAGTAATCGAAGATGATCCTTGAAATGAATTTTCTACTAGTTAAATGATGATATTTAATTAGGTGGGTTAATCTTTTAATAAATACTAACCTGAGATCTACGGCAATGGAAATATCTAGTTGACATTTTCCTTCACCAGAAGTTCCTATTTTCCACCATGAATCATAGAGATACCCTGTTTCTCTTAGGATGATCCCTTTGAACGTATTCTTGTTTGGTTTAGGTTTTCGTAGTGATGAATAAAATGATCTTGAAGATGAGGATGGCGATGTTGTTGTTGATGATGATGTATTGTAAAGTGTAGATGATGAGGTTGGATTATCAATTAGAGATTGATTTTCAATGAAACTCCATTTTCTTTGGATGGTAAATGTTTTCAGGGGAAGAAAGAAACTCGATTGAACTTTAAATTCATAGGTATCAGAGTTTTCACTCGGTGTTTGTTTAATTATCCTCCATTCGACGACACTTGGATCAAATAAATTACGCTGATAAAGAATTCGTTTCAATATATCAATTGGAGCTGCGTTAATTGTTATACTCGACTCGTAAGTTGAGGGTAATAAATGACCTCCATTGATTAAATTTGAATTGGACGGTGATTTGGTTTGGAATCGATCATCATTAGCACCATTAGTAGAGGTTAAATATCCACCATTGGTCAAGGAAAGGGAAGGCATCAGTGAGCTTAAATGGTCAACATCATCCGATGAAATATCCATAGATTGATCCATCGTTTGGTAACCCGATCCTGTTTTTTTGGGTGTTGTTGTTTTACCAGGTTTCTTATTAATATTATTGGTGTTTCCAGTTAAAGTTATCATGCTTGGTGAGGGTGGAAATGGTAATGAACTTGATGGAATCATGGAAATAGCTGAACAATTTTCAATTAAATATTGAAGGCATTTCTGGGCATCAAAGATTATCTCTGTATCAGCTGATCTAGGTAAAGATGATCCACCATTAACATGGAAACCATTATTATTATCTTGACCAAATGGAAGACCATTATTATTATTTATATTGTGATTACCATTCAGATGATTATTATTATTGGAAATACCATTTAAATTGTTATTTATTGTATTTGTCCCACCTCCTGAATTTGTTCCGGTTCCGGTAAGTGCACTACATTCACATAGAGATGGAGTGAAGCAAATTGCTAAATTTTGTGAGCTCATTTGATTAACTTCACAATTAGCAGCAAAAAGAGATAAAAAATGTAAAAAAATCTCTAATAAAGCTCTTTGGGAATCGGTTAAAAGGACGGTTAATTTCAGACTAAGGTCAATAGGTGACGGACTATTGGACGAAGTGTTACCATGACCATTGGTATTGCTCGAATTTTCAACATTATTATTAATACTTGACATCATCTCTTTATAAGCGGCGATCACTTCTTTGGTAATCAAGGGACGAGGTTTGATCTCACGTAGCCACATTTTCACCATATCGGCAACATCGTACACACAAAACTCTTCACCGGGAGCATAAGATGAGGATAAACGATATTTAATGGTTGAAGATCCACTTTCTGTTCCTAATCCCATAGAATACAAATCTCTTGATCCATTATTCAGGCCAGTTCGAGGCAAAGTTGTTACACCAGCGACACTAAAACCATTCCCACCGTTGATTGTATTACCATTAATACCATTGTTTTGATAATCTGTTGGCCTGTTGATTGTTGATTCTTTTGATTTAGATCCAGTCATGGCTTCTAATTTTTGCCTTAACGACATAATTCGTGATTTAACTCCCGATTTACGGAAAATCCCAACTGAATTGATTCCATATCGAAGTAGATAAAGTAACGCATTCTCAATAAAAGGCGGTAATATTAATCCACCATTAGCTTTCTCAATTTCATTAACATCGCAACCAAATAAATTACTATTGGTTAGATTATCGGTTCCACCATTGGATCCATTGGTTTTTTTGCCTTTCCGGTCCCATTTGACTTCCATAGGCTCCTCATGGTGATCGTTAACCAAGAGTTTGTAATGATCAATCTAAATTAATCAATGAGGAAGATGAATGATGATGATTTACAAAAAAGGGGTCATTGTGGTTTTGGTAATGGTGGAGGAGGAAAAAGGAAACAGATCAGATGATTGAGATAAATTATTATTATCATAGATATATGATGGTGATGGATAAGTTATGGCATAAGGGATATGGAAAGATGAAGATAAGGATGAGGAAGAAGATGATGATGGAGGAAAACAGGAAAAGGGAAGAGAGAGAGAGAGAGAGAGAAAGAGAAACAATAAAAATAAATTAGTATAGATTTTCCAAAGATTATGTTATACAAAATTTAGATAAGATAAACATGAAATTCATTAAGATGAATGAGATAATTTCGCTATGAATGGCTAATATTACTCAGAATAATTTTCTCTTCATTTCCATGCTTAACTCAGAATCACATGGAGCTTTTATTTTTAATATTTTTTCATCATCATTTTCGTTGGTAAAAGATGATTACTCATACCAATCGGGTGTTAGTTGATATAATCCGTGATAATCATCATTATGTTAACTTTCGTAACGATAATTGTAACTTAATTGTAAATACAAAGTGTTGGCGTAAATATGATAATCGTTTCAACTTTTTTGGTTTTTCTTTACTTGATAATTAAGGTGAATAAATTGTTGAGACGAGAAAAAAAAACGAGGAAGACATTTGATTGTAGTAACAATTTGTACATAAACTATAACAATTAATTGATTGTAAAACATGACAATTAGATTGACAGTTGTAATAGGAATGATGATCAAGTTGTCATCGTTGATGAAGATGATGAAATGTTTACATTTCTTAAATTGTTCAAGTAAACATTGAGCTTTTTTTTAACCACTAATAATGATCAGTGATTAATAATCATCGTCATCATTTATTTAATCATCAACAATCAAAATTGACAATTAAGTAAAAAGATTAATACTTGGGATGATGATGTATTGTAAGAATTGATAATTAAGCTGGAAATTTAAATTGCAACAATTTATGTATTCATTTGAAATGTCTAAGGTTATTTAATTTGATTTAGTTTGAAAGGGGAAGTACCAATTAAAAACTTGATTGTTGATTAACTGTTAACATGATTATTACAAGTAATTTAACCAATCTTCAGATTTGAATTAATATCAATAGTCAAAAATTGTTAGGAAAATGATATTCACAATTAAAAACTAATCAATCAGAATTGTCAAAGTTTAAGATTGAGAAAATCAAATGTTAATCAGCTCAATTTACAGTAATCAAGTTGCAATTAGGTTGTAATCACACTGATCAGATATTTTGATTGGACAATTAAGCTTAATCATTGATCAAATGTTAACCAGAAATTAAATGGCAAAATCAATTGAAGGGAAAAAAATTAATTTCATCAATCAGAATAATAATAAAACAACAACATAATCAAATTTGCTGAAAGCTGATTATTTGTTAATTGTTGGATGATTATGATGATGATCAAAAGTAGCAATTAAAGTCTGGTTAAACCTAACCTTTTAATATCTAATAGAAACAATCAAATCAACCAATCATTTGATAATTAGTTAATTATAAACCAAGCAGAAAATACAACAACAACAAGGTTAACTTAATATCAATAATTAACAACAACAATTAGTAAAAGTTATTAATCAATAGTGAAGAGAAAAATTTAAATTACATTAATCAGCATGATGATAATTACTGACCAAAACAAAAAAAAGGTGATTAAAGATTAACCATTAAAACTTTGATTATGAACAACAAGTAACCACAATTGTTGATTGTTGATTATAAATACAATTCTGATGATTAACTTTGATTATCATCATGATAATAATCATTACTATTGGTGTTTCATGTTAGTTAATAATAAATTTCTTGCTAATTCATTCAAGTCTCATGTTTATAATTTTGCTTTTGTTGTTGTTGATTGTTAACATTTAATGAACACTAAACAAAATGATAATTAAGTTAATCATGGTAATCATTAAGTGGATCATCATCTAATTTATTAAATAAACTTCAATTATAAATTGTAGTCATTTTTTTACTCTAGAGCAATTAACTATAAATTATATCATATGGATATATGATGTTGATCCTCTTGAAGATGAGAGATAACAATTAACTTGATTGGAAGCTTTTTGTTCAATATTAATTATGGAAAGTTAAATTGTTGGAGTAAATAAATGGAGATGATCATCATTAATTAATAATATAATAATAAACAAAGATAATACATCTAATGATGATAAGATATTAATTGTAGTATTAAAATGGTAAAAGTAATCAAGGGACAAACACACAAACACATCAAGTAATCAAATGTAATTGACAGTTATTGATTAATTGTAGTGATTATATGGATTAATTAGTATTTAGCAAAAAATGATTAGGTGAAAATATTGAATTTAATTGATTATTTTTGGTGAAAAAGATTAAATAAGCAAATTTAATTGTCATGATAAATACTGAATCAAGTTGATGGTGAACCTTGTAAGGTAAATTAAAAGTTTCGTTCATTTCTGAGTCAAGGTAATTGTGTTGTTTTTCATGATGATCAACAGAATTATCGTCATCGATGATTAAGAAAGGCTTGGCATCCGAATGAGAAAGATGATAAGGAAGATGACAAGATCTAGATCTTCTTAAGAAGATAAGACAATGTTTACTGTTGTTTATATTTCTAATCTTAATCTTTTTTATCCTTCACTGGATAGAGAGAGAGATGAAAATTCTGGAAATGATTCAATGAATTTTCAGATTTTCGGACTTGACAATAAACATTAACTGAGATCCAAGATTGAATTGTCATGAAACAAACATGGTGATGAATGGAAGTGAAAATTCAATACTGAAGATAATTTAAATTGTGTTCATTTTATCACTTTCTTTTTTGATAACTATCGATATTAGACTTGAAATAACCAAAGTTGAGGTAAACAAAATCATCATCATGAGATTGATTAGATAACAGAACAATCAAGAATTGAAACTATCTATAATTCATTAATATCTTCATGGTGATGTTAATAATCATCATCATGACAATTAACTTATTCACTTAATAAAGTAAACATATGGTTTATGTCAATAAATGATTATCATGATTTGATGATCATTTTTATCATAAATTTGCTGAGTAAATGATTTACCATTAACCAAATCATGATTAGGTCTAACAATTACTAAATTGTGTTTCACAAATCACTTGAAAAGATTTATAATCAACTATCTTAAATACAGTTAATCTATTAAAAGAAACATCAACAAAAAAACAAGCAAAAACAACAACATACGAAAAGTTTATCATTCAAATGATCATCAACATGATGATAATAATAAATAAATGATGAAATTTCATTCACCATCAAGGGTAACGGTTAAATCGTCAACATTTTTATCAATACAAATAAAATTATGCTAATTACACGTTACGATAATAATAACGGTAAGTGAACATTAAACGTTAGTGTCTATTAAGAATAGGAGTAAATTTGATTTCGGTAATTAAGTTGATGGATATGGTGATGATTAAGATTTTGATTGTTAGTCTGGACAATTAAATAGCCTTTGAAAATAAAGTCTAATCCACTAAACTACTTGGTGATCCAGTTTCTTGGATAACAAAAGATGTAAATGTTTCCAACAATTTAACCAGTTTTATAATGATTATGATTAAACGACAATTAAGAGAGGGAAAAAACAAACTCTATTCTAATTCTGAGCCTCAGTGGAACAATTAAATTGGATATTTGAGAATTCAAAGTTAATCTATTATTCTAATAGTCATTAATCTATTAACTTTGAAATTAGGTTCTTCTAATATCATATTATTATCCTAATCATCATCATCATCGAAATTATTTTCTCGCAAGTTTTAATTGTTGATGTTGGATAATGATAATAATCTTGACAGAAAAAGAGTTAAGTTAATTGTCATCACCAAGTAGACCAGTTGATTAACTCTGAGAAACTCAGTGTCCACATAATTAAGGAGAAATTTACAATTTAACTTGATTGAGATGAGTTTATGTAAGATTGATGATTGATAATCCTAATTGTCGATTATGATGATCAAAATTAACGATAAATTGATAATTAATCTGATTCTTTGAGAGAAATTGAAATGAATAATAATAATGTTTACTTACGATTCTTTGAATTTGTGATGCTGTCAATAGATTATATGAAATCTCATCATTATTTTCATAGAAAGAGGATCGATTATAATTTTTTAATGATAATGATGATTCTCGTTGTTGATTAAATTTGGTTAAATGTGATACAGATGAATAACTATTACTGGCCAGTGTGGAGGTTGTTGTTGTAGTTGTGGTTGTAATTGTGTCGGTTGTTAAAGATGATGGGATGATGATGTTATTTGTTGTAATAATTGTTGTTGGTGTTAATTTATCACCTTTAAATTGTTGATCACTGATTGTATCATTGATTGTACTCTCAGAATAATTCATATGGTCTGCTTCATCATCACCAATTTGATTATCATCATTGTTTTCAATGGTTGAAGTAATTGAATTGTTGTTGTTGTTTACAAAATGGTGATGATTATTATTCAAATGGTTTTCTGTTTGATATTGAGAAGTGAAAATATTATCAAATGATTGATAAGTGTTAATTAAACTATCCTGGCTATTACAATTAACCTCATTATCATCATCAATTATAATAGAATCATTGTCAATCAGGTTACCATTGTTACTATTGAAATTCTCATTGTTGGTAACAGTTGTTGTTGTTGTTGTTCTTGATGATGATGAAGATGTTGTTGTTGTTATGTTTTTATTTGGTGAACATGAAAGAGAAGTGATAAAATTATTGGATTCTGGTAGATGGGATAACTCATATTCCAATTGATTTAACAGTAAATCAAAATAATCTTCTAGATTATCTTCCATTAAATATGACAAAAATATAATCACCAATTAAAGAACAACATTAAAAGAAACAAAGAAAAAGCAAAAAACAAATGAAAACGACAATAAAAAAATAACATGAAACTGTGAAGAAGAGAAAAGAAAAAAAATAAAAAAAAGAAAATTCAAAAATTTGATTTTCTCTTTTGAGTTTTGTTCTTTTACCAACAGATGGCGCTCATCGGCGAAACTAGTGACATCTGTTGATCTAATTAAGAAGAAGAGAAATTTTAATCAATATTAATTTGGAAAAAACAAATTAATCACTTGTTTAATTTTCTTTTGTCATTTAATTAATTGTCAATCAAAAGAGAGATAATTAGAGGAAAGATTGTTATACAAAATAAGAATATAATTTTGATAAAAAAATGAGAAACTTAATAAACAGAGAAAATTGTTTCAACGAAATTGGTTGATATGAATTATAATTAGTCCTTTTTTTAGATTAAATCAAATATATATGATAAAATGTAGAAGTTATTATTTTTTGGTTTCAATCACAATTAAGAGGAAATAAAATGAGGAAAAAAAGTTGTGTAAACTGTTTAACTAATTAACTTTCGATAAACAATAATAATATTGAATTGACATAGAAACGAGTAGATTATTATTCATATTGATTAAAAAGTGAGGGTACAAGTTGATTATTTGATGAATCTCAATGTTTTTTTTACCTAAATCACAATTAGGACAATTAGTTAATGAGAAAAGTACAGATAAACAGACCAAGTGATTTATAATTATAAAGGTAAACTTGTGACAATTGAATATGATGATGTACAAGAAATTAGAATGACAAAGTTGTGTCAGTGGAAATGTGATCAAGTTCTGATCATGTAATTCAATTAGGAAAATAAATTCAGTTCAATTTATCGAAAGAATTTTTTTCTTCATCTTCTCTTTCTTTTCTTTCCTGGTAACCACCCACTTCTCTTACTTTACTCTCTCACTGATTTCATAAAAATAAACTCTCTCTCTCTCTCTCTCACTCACTCCATCATTATCTTCATCATCATCATCATCGACTTTCACTCACTCAACTCACTTCTCCCACTTTTTTTTGCCTCCTTTTGGTTACCCGTTAAATCATCATCTTGATCATTTAAAAATCAACAACAACAACAATCAAATCAACAATCAACAAATTGTGATAATTATCAACCATCATTATCATGAAAAAGTGTCAACTTGAAACATTTCCTACAAAACTGATAAGTTGATTGTTGTAATTTCTCACAATTTAGATTATAATCAAAAGCAACAATCAATTGTTTTCTCGTTTAATTTTGTTTCATTTAATCCCTCAGGTATTAATCTAAATCTTGTGTAGTAATAAATTTTTAATCCTTAATCACAATCAGTCATCATCATCATCAACAACTAATCATTTGCACGTTAATCTTTGATTACCTTGAAAGTGATTTGTGTTCATCATCATACAAATACAAATATAAATTTAATCAACTTTGATATTGTAACAGATTAAATTGATTTGAATTGAGCAATTTATTTTTAGAACTCAACAACAATCATCATCACCATCAATTCTTAAACATTGTGATCAGTAAATCACCACCAAGCAATTTATACACAACAACAACAACAAACAACAATCAAACTGCAACAAGAAAACTTGAGAATCGATGACAATTTAATTCTTATAATTAAAACAATCAAACCTCTAATCAGTTAATGATGAATGAAAGTAGTCGGGAAAAACTGGACATGGACTTGGGTGAGTTTTGTGTTAATAATCGTGGTCATCACAATTTAACCAATAAGATGAAAAATCAATCATCTGATCAACCACAACACCAACAACAACAACAACAACAACAATCACTTACATCCAACACCTTAGGGTCATCTCATGGTGGTTACAATGAATCAACTTTAATCTTTGACCAAACCAAGGGAATTTTCCTCCCTCGTTGGACAATTATCTTAATTGCTTCGTTAATTGTATCCGGTCTTGTGATATTTACACTTCTACTATTTCATCTATTACCCATTTGTACCAATCAATTAAATCCAATTCAGAGTACATTATCATCTTCATCTTCATCATCCCAATCAACAACATCTCCATCATCATCTTCATCCCAATCGACAACCTTAATCTCATCACCAACGACAATTAATCACGTTAATCAACTTAATCAAAGCCACGCTGCTCGTTTACCAATTAGTATTGTGCCATCTTCATATGACATTAAATTACAACCTTTCATCATAATTAATAATTTCACCTTTAATGGTGATGTAAGTTAATTGTTGACACTTTTTTTTCGCGTTAATTGTCTATTGATTGCTCGTCTAATCATCTTTTTGTTTTCCATGTTGACAACTAATCATAATCAGTTGTTAACACTTAATTTTTTTCCTCATTTTGATCTGATTTTTTTTCCCGAGACTTGATAGTTAATTGTTACAATTTAATCGTTACATTCCCATTTGATTATGACAACAATTAACTCATCATAATCACACTTGATTCTGTTGTTGTGATTATCCCAACAATTGACTTTTCAATTTTCACTTTTTTTTTCTTGTTCTTAATATTAGTTAATTAATTAGACTCTTTTTTTTTCAATCTCCTTCAGGCAATTTAGTTTTAATTTAATTAACTCTTGATTGTTGTGAGACTTTGTTAAAACTTTGGAGTCTTTAATTAGTTAATTTCTTGTGATTTATTAATTGAGTTAATTAGTTTTGAAGGAGAAAAAAAAGTTTTCACTTTCTTTTTGTCTCTTGTTAATAATTATTGATTGTTAGTTGATTAACACAATTAACTTACGGTGAGAATTTAACTAAATCAAGTAAAAGTAACAAAAGACAAATTAAATTACACATTTAATCAATAAATCATGATTTAATTATCTATCTTACTCAATAATATAATTAGATCAATTGTTAATCACTTTTTACTTTTTCTTTTCTTTTCCTTAATTGTTGTAATTTAGGTGAAAATAATTCTGGATGTAAGACAATCAACTAATAGGATAACACTTCATGCCAATGATTTAACAATTTACAATGAAAGTATCAAAGTTGAAAGGTTAACATTTAATACAATGGAAACAAGCAAATTAACTGATAACAATAAGCAACAATCAACTAATCGTAACAATCAAATTTCTGGTGGTAACTCTGGTGATATTGATGATGGTTTATCATCCTTCTTGGTTCCTAAATCACGGACAATTAGGTCAATTGTTAATTCAACCAAATCAATTATTCCAATTGTATCAACTTCAATTGAAAAGGAAAACGATTTCTTCATCATTAATTTGTCAACTGATTTAATTGCTGGTAATAGTTATTCAATTACAATGAGATTCCTTGGCAATTTAAATAAGGATTTAGCTGGATTTTACCGTAGCTCATATAATGACACAATCACCAATCAAAAAAGGTAATTAATTGTTAATCAATTGATTTAAAATCTAATTATTGGTACGATCAATTTGTTGAAATCTCCTTCTTATATTTATCATATAACAATTAACTTTCATCTCTGCAAACTGTTAATTGTTTAGGTAATTAGTCAATTTTTGAATCAAGTTAATTGTTGGAAACTTTTTAATTGACATTAATCATTTCAATTTATTTAAGTAACAATTTAACAACTGATTTACTTTGATTCACCTCAATTAACTTTACTTTCATCAATAAGTTAATTTAACAAAAATTTTCAATTACAACAATTAAATCAACCTAACCTTAATCACCTATCATCTGGTTAATTGTAAACAATTAGCTTGACAATTTATAAATCGTCTTTTCTTTGAAACAATTTACTAATTCAACTTAATCAAATTAGTTTTGTTTCAAACAAATTTAAATCAATCCTCATAAATTGTTGTTATTAAAGATCAATAATTAATTCAATCCAATGAAATGTCTATTAATTAGTTACAATTATAATTATAATTAACTATTGATTATGATTAGTAAACAATTTCCTTAAGGTTATTAACCTTACCTTCAATTAACTGTTAACAATTAACACTTGAAAGTAATTAACTCACACCTTTAAATTGTTAACAAAATTTTCAATCTTAATCATTGATAATCTTGATAAATTTTCATTCAATTTTATAGACAATTAATTAATTGTTGTTTCTACTATTGATCAATTGATTTTTTTTATATAAATACTCAACTATTAATATCTAATTAAAACTAAATTAGTTTGGTCTAATCAAGACCAACCCGAATAAAGTTTTTTAAATGTTAATTAACTTTTCCCAATTCACACACAATTAACTAGTAGACATTAAATTAATCAAGACAATTAATCATTTTGGGAAAAATTTGTTTTGTTATTTAATTGTTGATTAGATTTCTAAATCTTAATCACAATTATATAATAAGGTGTTTCCATTTAAATTGTTATTATTATTTATATTGTCAATGATTTCACTTTACAATCAACTAATCAGTTAATAACAATTGAATCAGTTTTAAACAATTACAATTTTTTTCCCTGACAATTTATATTCACAATTTAAATTGTTGTTGATTAATGTTCATTCATGAATGAAAGGATTGAGAAAATAGTTACAATCAAATCTTTGAACAATCAAATGAAAAATAAAGAAATCAATTAACTTTAAAAATTGTAACAATTAAATCATTAATTACTGATCAAAACTGTTAGCCAAGGTTTTTAATTGTGATTGTTTATTTTTGACTATTATCTAGACAATCAAATCAGCATCTTAATTGTTGACAATGATTAGCTTTTAATATGTTGATACTGATTAACAATCAAACCCAATATTTCAATGATATTATTTTAACTGTTTAACTCAACAATCAGTTAATTATCATCACCAATGTTAATCATTTTGATTGGAAAACCTAAAAATAAATCAATTGACCTGAACCTGATTCTAATTATCATTAATAGTTTAATTATAAACAAAATGATTATCATGATTATCTGTTGATTGTTAATGATCAACAATTTAGTTGCAACTCATTAATGGGTCAAAGGTGTGGGTTAATAACTGTTACCTTTAGGAGATGATGATGATTAGTGAAATTAAATTGTGATGATTTAGTTAAATTAGTAATTAGGAAACAGATAAACTAATCAATCAGATGATGATTAGTTAATTTACCTTTTAGTAGGACATGTTAATTATGTTAATAGATTAATTAATCAACAGTGAATAAGTATGTAAGTGTATCAATAGTTGAATTAATTGTCAAGTACAATTAATATTTTTCCCGATTGATTAATCAATGATTAAGTAAATTGTTACATAAATATGATTGTTAATCCAATTGGTTAACAGTTAAATTGTTGAACAATTTGTATATCTGTTTACGTTAATTGTAAATGCTCACAATTTGATGACGAAAATAAACAAATCAAGATAATTAATTTTACTGTTTAATAGATTTCCTTTCACCAAATTTAAATTAATCATTTAATTTGTTAATTGTGTGTTTGTGTCTGTTACAATTAATTCAATTGTTGTTACCATCATGAATTTAGATTAATTGTTAGCTGATACATATAATTAGATCAATTGTTGACACGAGTGTTTAATTTCATGGATCATTTGATTTTTGGGTAAATTTAGTCGTTAATTGTTCACAATTAAATCAATGTGGTTGAATTGTTGATTTTCTTACAAAATCAAAGTTACAATTATCTTCAATCTGTTAATGAAATTTAATCTCGACCATTTGGAGAAACTTATTGAATGTCAAAGTTTCAATGTTAAGGATCTAATTAACTATCAACTAATTGTTCAGGTGGATCGCAACGACACAATTTGAGCCCACTGATGCCCGGCGGGCATTTCCCTGTTTCGATGAGCCAGCACTCAAATCGATATTCAATATAACCCTAGTTCATTTGACCAACATGACCGCTTTGTCCAATATGCCAGTGGTCAAGACGATTGAAAGGTAAATTATAATGCAAAAGAATCAATTTTTCTCAATGGTCAAGATGATAAAATTTTCTCATTTTGAATATGAATTCTTTTTTTTTTCTTTCTTTTCAATGGTCAAGAGGTGAGTGGACAGAGACTCAATTTGCACCAACGGTCAACATGTCGACCTATTTGCTAGCATTTGTCGTCGGTAATATTGAGAATGATACAGTTAAGGTAAAGTAAACTGGACTTGGTCATTTTTTTAGAATATCGATTAAAACTTATCTTCGATAACAGGAAGGTGACCGTTACTTTGGAGTTTGGGGTCGGCCAGGTACAAGGGAATCGCGTAAATTTGCACTGACCATTGGACCTAAAATATTGCAACATTATGAAAAGTTTTTCGGTATCAATTATCCATTACCAAAGACAGGTAAGTCACTTTGTCGTTTTCTAAAGTGACCTGAGTAAATTTTGACCGATTTTCTTATTATTATTTGAACGGATTTCGTTAAGATATGATCGCTGTTCCCGATTTTAACGCTGGTGCCATGGAAAATTGGGGAATTATCATTTATCGAGAGACGACAATGTTATTTGACGAAACAAGTGCCTCTATTTTTACCAAAAAACGAGTTGCCGATGTTGTTGCCCACGAATTGGCCCATCAATGGTTCGGTAATCTGGTTACACCCAAATGGTGGGATGATCTTTGGCTTAATGAAGGATTTGCCACTTACATGGAGTACGAAGGTGTCAATAGTGTTCACCCTGAATGGCGAACGGTAATTATTCACTCGACAATTAAAATAGTTGAATTAATGTTCTGAATTTCGTCCTGATTTCAATTTCACTTTTCTCCAGCACGATGCTTTCGTTATTGAAGGAATTCAGGTTGTCTTCGAACTCGATTGTCTAACGACTTCTCATCCGATCTCCGTTAAAGTTAACGATCCCGATGAAATTAATGAAATTTTCGATAGAATCTCATATGAGAAGGTAAGTTAAAATCTCTTAATTTTCTCCACAATTAACATGTTTGATTGTTGTAATTTACAGGGAGCATCGTTGATCAGAATGATGAGATACACGTTGGGAGACAAAGTTTTCAGAGAAGGAGTTTCGGTAAGTTTTTCGGATCTTTAAGTTTCTTTTTTCTTCCTCTTCTTTGCTAATTAAACTGATTAATATCACTAATTAACTAATTATAATCACGTTGTAAATTGTTGTTATATATTCTAATTAACTTGATTCTCATTTCGATAATATAATAAACATAAAGTCGTACTTGAAGGCTTTGGCTTACAAAAATGCTGAACAAGATGACCTTTGGCATTACTTGACCATCGCACAAAATCAATCATCAAGTAAAGTGATTCCTGTTAAAAAAGTAATGGACTCATGGGCTCTTCAAGTTGGTTTTCCATTGGTCACTTTGACTCGAACCTATGGTCCGAAAAGCCAAAAATCGGCTAAATTAACACAGAATCGATTCTTGCTCTCATTGAACAATTCAATTGAATCAAAGGAACGTTGGGAAATCCCAATCTCATTAACAACGCAATCAAATCGTAGTTGGGATCCATTACCTCAATTCTGGATTCATCAAGATGAAGGTAAATCCGATTAACCAGTTGATCGTTTAATGTAAACTAATTGTTTTTCCCTTTTCGATTAGGTCAAAAATCAATGGACGTTGCATTTTTACCCAAAGACGATGAATGGATTATCCTTAATCTTCAAGAGGTTGGATATTATAAAGTTAATTATGATGAACGAAATTGGAAAATGTTAATCGACCAATTGAAACGAGATCATTCACAAATTCATGTTCTCAATCGAGCTCAAATTATCGATGATCTATTTGATCTTGCTCGTGCTAATGTTGTCAACTATTCATTAGCATTAAATGTCACTAATTATCTAATTGATGAAGAAGATTTTATCCCATGGGGATCGGCTACTGGTGAATTAAAGTTCTTAGACTCAATGTTAAGACGGACCAACATTTATGGTCGTTGGAAGGTAAAAAACAACAAACAAACAATTTAACTTCAACAATTAATGCTCGTTAATCATCAATATTGTAACCAATAAATTTACAACCGTAGTAAATTTAAATGATGACAATTGTTATCAAGTTAAAAAAGTTATGATACAATTTTGACAGTTAGGGTTTGATTTACAATCGTAACTTTTTTTTCCTGCTTTTTTACACAATTAACAAGGTGAATTAGCAAACAATTATTGATGATTAGTGACTTTAGTTGATATTGGCTTTTTTTTGTATACTAATTGTTAACTCTTTTAACTTTTTCAGAATTACGTTCTAAGCTTAATTGTCAACAAGTATAATCGTTATGGTTGGCGGGAACCTAATAATCCAAATGATATCGCCAGTCAAGTTATGCAGTCGCGAGTAATTAACTGGGCTTGTTACTATCAGCATATGCCTTGTATCCGAGAGGCTCAGCGGCAATTTGAATCATGGAAATCAGCGGTGGCCGATAATATGACCAACCCGTAAGGGAGATCGATAATTGATTTTCGAATTGAATTGATTAGAATTGTAGCTAAATTTTGGTGATTTGTTTTTTTTCTTTCTCTCAGAATCCATCCAAATTTACGAGGTGAAGTTGTTTGTGTAGCAATTCAATGGGGAACTGAAAAGGATTGGCAATGGGTTTGGGATCAATTTCAAAGTTCATCGTTGGCCTCAGAGAAAGAGTATCTCATGAGGGGGTTAGGATGTTCCAGAGAACCATGGATTCTCAATCGTTACCTGGAAATGTCTCTCGATGATTCAAGTGGAATTCGTAAGCAAGATGGTTCAACCGTTTTCCGGACAATCGCCAATTCTGAGTATGGACGAGATATCGCTGTCAACTATTTCCGTAATAAATGGGACAAAATTGTCGCCTAGTAAGTTTAGTCTTCTATTAATTGTTTACATTTAAATCTAATTGTTTGGAAAACTTTTTCTTTCTCTTTCCGTAGTTATGGTAAATCTTATTTTGCATTTGGAAATTTAATTCGAGCAGTTTCAAGTTCAATTACTATTCAATACGAATTGAATCAGGTATTAATTAAAATTTTCTTTTCTAATTCTTTCAGAGCTAAATTGTTACTCATTAATTGATTGATTCTCTTTTCTATTATTATTACAGTTTAAATCATTTTATGATAAAGTTCGGGACGATTTAGGATCAGCACAAAGGTCATTTAAACAGGCGATTGAAAAAGCCGAAGCCAATGTTAACTGGATGAATCTTAATTACAGGGAAATTGAAGATTGGCTTAATCAACAGAAAACTAATTAACCATAATCATCACTTTCTTTTTTTTTAATTATTATTACTACAATCAACAAATTATCATTCGTTCATTCAAATCAAATTGACTTATTGAATATCTTTCAATCAAGACTCAATTTAAAACAGAGTAAAAGTCACAAACAGCTAATTGTAAATACGATCAATTAAATCACTTAATTTGACAATTTAATCAAAGAGGATGAAGAAAAAAAAAATGTAAACAAGAAAAAACGAATCAATTACAAACTCAATTGAAAATAGAAAACGTTAATTAACTAATCACAATTGACAAATTATCTTAATTTCTTTCTGCTAAATTGTAGTAACCAAATTAAAACTATTTGTATTGATGGGAAAATGTTTCAATTGATTTCTATTAAAAGTTAAACAATCAATAGATGGAGTTGTAAGTTGAGTTAATTGTTGGAATTTTTTTTCACAATTAAAAATTAGTTTACATTTCTGATAATAGATGTCGACACTTTCAGTGAATTTAATTGTTGATTTAATTAAATGAAAGAATCACAATTAAAATGATTTTTAAAGAAATTTAAAATCGCAAAGTAAATCATTGATTGGTTCAAGTTACAATTATTAGCTTATTTAATTGATTGTTACATCATTTCATTGAAATTTAAATGATTACAATTAATCAAAAATAATTTTTTTTCCTAAATTGTAATCAACTAAATTATCTGGAAATAAAGTTAATTATCATCATCTCATATTACACAGTAAATGTTTATTTATCTTTCCATTGCTGGTTAAACTTAATTAGTTGATTCTCATTATCATCTCCATAGGTATTAACTTAATAATTAATGAGTCATCTAATTAAGTCACTAAGATGTTAATTACAATTCATTTTTTTTCACCATTATCTTTGTACATGGGTAACAATTAAGCAAATTGTACGACAATCAAACGTATCTATCAGTTACTCAACAATTTATGTAATCAAGTGATTGTATGACGTAGGGAAGGATAAAAAAACGGTAATTTATTGATTAGGTTAATTGTTGATTTAAATTGTTACCAGAAAATTTGAATAGTGCAAATGATTGTGAACTTTAAATTGTTTTCATGTTTATCCAATTAAAAGCAAGATATATATCAAGGGTTAATTGTCCCAGTATTTAATCAACTGTTATTAGATATTTAAACATAGACAATTAGTTTAATTGTTACAAAAAAAAGACATTAAAAAGAGAGTAAATTACCAAGATAATTAACTGGATTAACGATTGATCAATGATTAGAAATAGACAGAGATGATAATAATTAGGATCTTGAAGCTTTTTAAAAGTTGCAACAATCAAATGTAAGAAATGAAATTAGTTGGTTAATCACAAAGAATCAAAGTTAATTGTTGTTGATTAACAAGCAAAAAAAATCCAATTACATGGTTGATTAAATGACGACAATACAATTAAGTTAATCAGATAACCTGTTGAGAGAATTAAATTATCGAAACTTGAATTTATGTTCTAATGATTAACGAATTTTTCGAGAATCAATCATGATTATGGTTAATTGCTTGATGATAGTTTGTGAAGAGAAATTAAATTAATCACTTTAGCCACTTCTACGTAATCGTAATTCAAATTTATCGAAGTCAAAATTTTCGAAAATGTCAAAATAAAAAACTTTTTTCTCTTTGAAATCGAAACTGTAATTGAACATTTTACTATTTAATTAGAGTCTCAGTTATTTATTATACATTTATAGCAATTAAGACTTGGATTGTACTAATAATAAAACAACTCTACTAGCAATTAGTTAATTACCATGATGATGACAGTATAAGAAACATGAATTAATGAAAAAGTGAAAACCAATTGAGTAATCAAATTAATCATTTAGATTGACTAATGAAAAAGTTTCTCGACTTTAAGAAATCAAATTGATACAATTACATAGAAATTGTTAATTAGTAGTAAATTTTAGTAGATTAGGAAAATATAAGTTTCGAAATTGTTTATGTTTAATTCATATTCGATTGATTTTTTTACTTGGATTATCAGATTAGTATTAATCTATTGATCTTGACAGTTAATCACTAAACTAATTCACGTGAATACTTGAAAATTAAGTGTTGAGCAACAATTAAGTTAATCACTTAGTGTTCATCAATGTGATTGTTAATTGTTTATTATCATTTGATCATCATCATAAACACACTTAATTGTCATGTAACTATCATGAGAATTGTTAATTGTTTGTAACCAGTCGTACTAATTATTTGGTTAAATCTTTTCCGAGAAATTTTTAATCAAAAGTTGGTCACATTAACAATTCTGTTTCATTGGTACAATTGATCAAGATGAACTTAAATGTATACAATGAAACCTTGTAAATCAATCAATTAAAAAGTTAAATCATCTTGGAGAAACAGTTATTTTTAATTAGCACTTTTTTTAACAAAAATTAAAATAACTACAATTAACTAATCATTGATAGTTAATGAAAACAACAATAATAACAAGTTTATTGATGCACTTGAATATAATTTAAACACGTTGAGTAACTTTGATCAACAATCAACGATTTTGTAAAGCAATTAAACAAAATTAACAAAGTTTTCTTTTCTCTCAATGATTAAATATATTAATAGCAATTAAGAAAATCAAATTAAAACAACTTACATTCGGGAAACCATGTTAATTGTTGAAAATTTTCAAGGTTAATTTTCAAAATGAATTTAATAAAAAGTTGATTAAACAAAATTTAATTCGTTTCTCTCTCTCTCTCTCTCTCTCTCATACTCACTTGGCTCAAGTCCATTGGCTTGATTATAACAATTTAACTAAATTAACCAACAATTAGAATCACATGATTGTTGAGAAGAAAGAAAATTTCTAATCGAAGAGGAAAAAGTTTTTTGATAACTTGGAAAATTGAAGAAAAACTTTGACAAATTGTTACGAAAAACGATCAACGAAATAGAGACAATTAGAATGACAGGAAGTACACACCCAAGAGAGAAAATAATGAATAATGAGAGAGGGAGAAAAGAATAAAAAATTTCCTCTAATTATGATGACAGAGAGAAAATGATTATTACCTGGATTAGGAATAGAAATCAATGTAACGTAACTCAAAACGAACGGAGAAAAAGAAAAAAAAATTCCTAATGATTATCATACGAAATTATATATATATCATCATATAATCTTGTTCATCTTCTCTAACATAATCATCAATCCAGGTAATGGTAAAATCAATAAATGCCCTCAGGGTAAAATGATCATCATTATATATCAAGATGGAGATGGTAAGACCAACATCAATTTAATTAAGCCTCGTGATGTGATAAAAAAAACCAAAGTTGCTAACCTTAAGTCTAGTTAAACACACTCACACACTCACACACTTCATCATCATCATCATCATCAACATGATCATCATGATCATCATCATCTTAATCATAATCAACATCTCTAACAATTTACACGCCTTTAACGCTCCTTCAATCACATTCTCATATCTGTAACATTAAAAGTTTTTCATGCAACTTTCATGATGATAAAGTTACGATTTCTCATCATCATCTTCATTATTATCTTCAATTAACCATTAACTAACTCACTAAAATGCTTAATTATCATCATCATCATCATTAGAATTCATTGAATCACATTTTTCTTTCTCTTTCTCTTTAATATTTTTTTTTTCTTCACTGAAAAAGTTTTCTTATTTTTCCTCAATGAACCAGTTTCTTTGATTCATTCCTAATTCACTGATTACGATTACAATGTTAATCACTATTGGCGAAAATCGTATTGTTATCCTGATAAACTAAATCAAGGATTCGATAAAAATTTAACCTCTAGATTAATTGATTACCTTGATTACCAGTGAAAAGGAATCACAGACAATTATTTGATTATTATTATTGATTTGATTGTTTTTTCATTTCTCTTCATGATCAATTGTAATTAATATTTTAACTCTCTACACTCATGATTATATTTATTACTATCATTTTCTCATATTATTAATTTGGACACAATGAGTTTTATTATTTATCGTTAATCATTGTTACAACACAATTACGTTTCTACAATAATAATATTGGTTAACTTAATTGTAATTCTGTGAATTTTTTTTCTCTCTCTCTCCATATATATAAATCAAATTGCTCATGAGACAGCAGAAAATGATTTACAATTAAAGTGTATTGTATGTTCATTGTCAATTCTGAAAAGAAAAGGATGAAAATTTATTCCAAATTTGATCAACATGAGAGAGAAACTGAATTAACTTGGTCTCGAAATCTTGAGAAAATATAATTTAAAGATGTTACTTATTTTCGCCGTTAGATGTCAGTGATTTTCTTTTTCTAAATGAAGAAAGAAAAGTAGACAGAGAAGAAAATTGTTCGAAAAAGAGAATTTTTTTTTCTCTTTCTTTTAAATAGTATTAGTTTCTTTTAATTTTCTCTTTCTTTTTCTTCTTCTTCTTTAGTTTCATCCTTTTCTTTTTTATCAATTTTGTTCACCTTTCTTTTTTTTCTTTCTTCTTCCATTCTGTTCTCTGTCTATCTTTTAGATTCTTCTTTTTTTTTCTTTCATCATTCTAATAATCATCTCTTTCTATTTTGTGTGTTCTCTTTCTCTCTCTCTCTTTTTCTTCCTTGAAAGGCTCAGATAAAAAGCCACTTACGTACGTTAAAGATTACGTGCAACTTGCGTCTTTCTCCCTCCCCTGTCTGTCTTTTACTGTCTACATTTCATCATTTTTCTTTTTCTCTCTTTCTCTTTTTCAAATAATCAGCCTTTGCTTTTCCCTCTCTCTCCCTTTTAACTTCATTATCATCATCATCATCACCATCAACTCAACATCAATTCAACATCATCAAATCAGTCTCTCTCTCTCTAACATATTCTATTCTCTCTTGTTCTCTCTCTTTTCCTCCTTCTTTTTCTCCGTCTCTCTTTTTTTCTCTTCCAATCTCATTCTCTCTCCCTTCCTCCCTCCCTTTCTCCCTCGCACTATCTCTCTCTCTATCTCTTTATCGCTCTCTTTCTCTCCCTCTGATCTCTCGCTCTCTTCATGGTGGTGTTCATTTAAAAATCTACCATCATTCGCATAGGATTGTGATTAATAAGTGTCCGCGGCTCTTGAAATTTCTTTAGTCAGTCAGAATCTATCAAAGAGTAAACATTTGATTCGATCCTTAAATTCTATATTTAAAGTAACCCTCTCTCTCTCACCAAAGTAAATTCTTTTCTTTTTTTTTCTTCTCATTGTGGTTTTTTCCATATTCTTTTTTCCCTTCTCAATTTTTCTCTTTTCCTTTTTATCAAAATGTCACATTCATTTGAACTTTCCAAGATTGAATCTATCACCCGAGACCTAGTTTTAACTAATGATCAACTTGAAAAAGTCGCTTCCCTACTTTTAAATGAGTTCAACGAAGGACTTGGCAAGACAACCCACCCCAGTGCCTCAGTTAAAATGTTCCCCACTTATGTGCGTGACGTGCCTAATGGACGTGGTAAGTACGGTATGTCATCATTGCGATCTCTTTTTATTTGACCTTTGTTTTTCTCTTTCTTTTTCTTCTCTTTTCATTTTCTTCTCTTTGGTCTGTCTTTTTACTCTTGTTCTTTTCTATTCTACTCTATTCTATTTGGATTTACGTCTGTCTGCATGTCTGCCTGTTCATCTCTATCTATTTACCTCTTTCTGGCCTGTCTGTCTGTCTGTTGGTTCTCTTTCTATCTTTTTGCTCTCTCTTTCTCTCTTTTCCATCTTCACTCTCATTCTCTTATTCTCCCTTTCTCTTATCCTTGTGTTTTTCTCTTTTCCATGATTCCCCTTCTCCTCTCTGCCCTCTCACTTAAACCAAAAATCAAAATAAAAATCTAACAGAGGAAGGTAAATTTCTGGCCTTGGATCTTGGTGGAACTAACTTCAGAGTCCTTCTAATAGACATAAATGGTGACAAGTTTCAAATGGAAAATGAAATTTATGCTATTCCTCAAGAAATTATGCTTGGAACCGGCGAACAGGTTAGCATTATTTTCTCCTTGCCTTAACCTTGAAAAACCTTTTACTTTGGAATATTTAAATTTAATATTCTATTTTTATTCTTTTCTCTTTCCTTTTAATTCTCTCTCTGTAGTTATTTGATCATATTGCTTCCTGTCTTGCTCAATTCATCGAGAAACGTGAGATGAAAACTTGCCGGTTACCTCTTGGTTTTACCTTTAGTTTTCCCTGTATTCAAGAGGGTTTGATTCGTGCTAAACTTGTTCAATGGACGAAAGGTTTTAAATGTGCAGGAGTTGAAGGTAGAGATGTAGTCCAACTACTTCGAGATGCCATTAAACGGCGATCGGTAAGTTAAATCGCTTTGAGCTTTTTTTAATCTTAATTCTTTTCGCTTGCTCTCTATCTCTTTTTTTCTCTTTTTTCTTTTCTATTTGAGTATTATTTTCAATTCTTTTGCTCATTTTTTTTTTACAAAATAAAACAATCTATTTCTCGTCTTTTTTAGGACATTGACATTGATGTGATGGCAGTTGTCAATGACACCACTGGAACTCTAATGTCATGTGCCCATAAAAATCGTGAATGTAGGGTAGGACTTATTGTCGGCACTGGTACCAATGCTTGTTACATGGAAAATCTCGACAATGTTGAACTATGGAATGAGGAAGTAGACGATCCACGTCAAGTGATTGTCAACACAGAATGGGGAGCCTTTGGTGACAACGGAGTATTAGATTTCATCAGAACACAGTGGGATGAAGAAATCGACGTCAATTCACTCAATCCCGGAAAGCAATTGTAATTATTTAATATCCGCCGACCCTGATTTTCCCCTCCCCGTCACATATATATTATATCTCCTCCTCTTTTTTTATATTTTCCTTTTTCATCCTGTTACGTTATTAACCTGTTATTTTTTTCTTTACATTTTCTGTTAAACCTTTAGATTTGAAAAGATGATTTCAGGAATGTACATGGGTGAACTATGTCGAGTCATATTAGCTGACCTTACAAAGAGAGGACTAATTTTTGGCGGGGAAGGATCATCAAAACTGTTTACTCCCTGGGGTTTTAAAACTGCTTACATCTCGTTCATTGAAAGTGACTCTAAACACAGTTACACCGAAACAAGAAAAGCATTAGAAGAATTAGATCTAACCAACGTTTCAAATGAAGATTGTGAAGCTCTTAAACTTGTCTCAGCTAGAGTATCAACAAGAGCAGCTTACCTGGTCTCTGCAGCGGTGGCCACCATCCTCAACAAAATCCGCCGACCTCATACCACCGTAGGAGTTGATGGCTCCGTGTATCGTTATCATCCACATTTCCATGATTTAATGGAAAGAAAAATCGCCGACCTTGTTCATCCAGAGTACAAATTTGACCTAATGTTATCCGAAGACGGTAGCGGTAGAGGAGCAGCTCTAGTAGCCGCCGTGGCCGTACGTCAACCAACCAGGTAACCATCTCAAATAATCTATACAAAGCAGAAAATTTAACAACAAAATAAATCAATTCATATATATATATATAAATATAAGTGTATGTGCAGGAAACATCATCAACAAAAAAAAAAACAGGTCAATTTATCATTTTTCATGAGTGCGAATTCAACAAGAAAACAAAATTGCATCAAACGCGTTTAAAAAAAATCAACATAAAATGCTCATTGTGTTAGGAATCCATTTATATTATATTATCATCCATCAAAACTTTTTGAGTCATAATCACATATACCTACTTAGTTATATAGTTTGTAATTTGTATTTAAATGGTTTTATATTAAATGTTTATCTCTCTTTATCTTAATCCAACCATTTTAATCCACATTATACATAATATACATATAAACATAATTATAAACAATTTAAATCATGTCATTGTTTTTCTCGGGTCTTTTTTTCTGTAAAAATTAAACATCCAAAAAAAACCCACCTTCATCTCTCCCTCTCTCTAAGTCATTAAATCATCTCAATATTTTCTATCACTTAATTGTGTTGATTAATAAACCACAAAATAGTCAAAATTAAATTTTACTCTTTTCTGTGATTGGTTTTCTAAATCAACAATCAAATTTGATTGTTTTTTTCTGTTCAATTGTTATAACCTCGTGTTTGAATTTTTCTGTTTTTTTTATATATTTAAAAACTTTAAATTGTCATTGATTTTACATGAATAACAATTAAATGAAAATAAAGAACTTTGAAAAAAAAATAACATAACCAAAGTGTCAATCACGCGAATGTCAATGTTAAATGTTGTAATTAAATTTGTTTTTTTTTCCACAACAATTAAAGTTAATGACGATGACCTCGTGAACAGAATTAAAATATCTTGAGGGCAAGAATCATGATGATGAGAAAAATTTTCTATCTCTCTTGTAACAGACTCATCTTTTTTTTTATTCTCGATTAACATGATGATGGTTAAGGACAATCAATTAATTTCACTTAATCATCAATAAACCACAAGCTTGAATTTCATGATACATGAAATAAAAGAAAGAGAAAAAGAAAGGGGAAAAATGATGCCCATGAAATGAGAAAATTCTGGTTCTGTCTCTCTGAATATCGAACCAGAATTCAAATGATAACCTTCATCATCAATCAAGAAGATGAAAAAAAAGAGAGAGAGAAATTAAATTTCCGATTAGTTTTTGATTCGGTTTCAATTCCTATCTCATTTCGCTCTCTCTCTCTCTCTCTCTCTCTCTCTCTCTCTCTCTCTCTCTCTCTCTCTCTCTTCACCCTCTCTTGATGATGATGAAGATGAAGATAAGTGGATAAGGTGGGATGATTATCACAGGTAATGTCATGTGGAATTGAGAGAGAGTTACTGTAGACAGAGAGAAAGACAGAGAAGAGTAAATTGTAAACGTGTCTAAATAATTCTGAGAATTTGATTTGACAAATTTGAGAGAGTTTTGTTTTTTTCGACAGAAAAATAGAAAGAAAAGAAAGAGAAATTGATTATTTATTACCTCGAGTGTCTCTCTCTCTCTCTACTCTCTCACGTGTTAACGTGCTGATTGTGTCAAGTTGATTTAATTGCCATTCATTTATTAACTAAAATCACCAAAGTGTCAATTGGTTCACAAATAATATAATTAATAAGTTTTTTCCATAGGAGATGAAAAAAGTTACAACAATCAAAACAATTAAGACAATTAAGAGGTGGAAAAATTTGGGAGAAAATTTTAACCATAACAATTAATTATTTCTCAGATTGTTGACTTGTTGATTGCTGTTAATGAGTAAACAGCAATCAATTGGTTGTGTGATTAATCAATGAATCAGATTTTCAGATCAATCAAATTTAAATGAAGAAAATTTGATCAACTCTTTTTTATTTTCATTAATATCATTCAACTTTTATCAAATTATCAATCAAATAATCAACACATTTAATTGTAACAATTTAATTTTACAATTTTTGCTCTTAATCAACGGTTTTGATTGAGACTTTATTTGAGAGCAAAATTTGTAACAATTTAACAGTTGATTGTTTGATTATTGATTTGTATTCAAATTTGCTGGTCTGCTCTTTGATTACCTGTGGGTGTATGTAAATGATTTGATGTTACAATTAGTTAATTCAGTTGTAACAATCAAACAAGGAAAAAGGATACAATTTAGGATTATTAGTTTACAAGTTAATCGACAATTAATTATTACTTGATTATAACAATTTAATAAATTTCTTCCGGTAACAATGAGTGAAAGATGATTAAAAAAAAGTCAAGGATTCAATTGGAATCATTAATTAATTGTTGTTGGCGGTTTTTTTTAATTGCTACTTAATTGTTAATGATACAAGTAAATTTTTCCGATTACAATTAATAAATAGTTGTATGTATTAATAGCAGTGTCAAGTAGTTTAGTATGATTAAAGTTAATTGTGATTACCAAATAACAAATCAGATCAGTCATGAGAAAGTTGATTGTTAATTAAAAATAGAAACACTTGTAACAATTAAATTAATTGTGAATCATGTGAATTGATTTAGATTAGTAATTATTTTCTCCCTGTCCTCATTCATCAATATGATTAACTTAATTGTTGACAGTAAATAATACATTCAATGGTAACTGATTGTTATTGTTTTTGCCAAATGTTCACAATTCACCTTGACAATTAAAGTTGATTGTGAAAATTAATTTCTACTTTTAAACAATTTAAAGTTAAATCAGTTGGTTTTTGTTTCTCTCAATCATTTATTATAATTGCTTATTGATTAGTTATTTATTTTTTTTTGCTCTTTGAGGTTGATTAGTTGATTGTTGTCTTGTTTGTTTAATTGTTTATGTTTAATTATCATGCTAATTGTTTACATAGACTTAAATTGATGATCTAAGAGATAATAGTTTGTAAATAGTGATTAACTGTTGATCATTGATTAAAAAAGAGATAGAAAATTTTTAGAAACAATTTAAGAGGTTGAATTATTATTAAGACAGACAGTTAATTGTTGATTGTTAATTATTAGGTAAAAAGATTCTGTCATTTAATTGAAAACTTTTTCTTTTCTACAATTAGATTGTAATTGATTCGCAAGGTAAAACAATTAGTTAATTAAATTTTCTCTTCGCTCTTCCAACACAATCAAGAGAATCAGTGAAAAAAAAAAGATTACAATTAAATTGTAATCGTTGTGAAAGTTAATCATCTTCAGTAGTTAATTGTGATCAAGATTAAAGGGGTGACCTTAAAGATTTAATCATTGTAACAATTAATGTTTCCTGATCTTGGCTTAACTCCAACAATTAAGATATAAATCATTGGCAAATTATAATCGATTTTACAATTAACTCTTTTTCTAATTGTTTACTAATCATCGGAAATGATTAACATCTCAATCTATCTTTAACTCTTAATTGTTTCCTTAATTGTTTCTTGATAAACTCTCTCCTTGGATAATTAATTGTATCATGATGACAATGAACTATTAATACAATTAACAAACAATCAATTGATTCCCAATGTTTTAGCTTTTTAATTGTTAACAAAATTACAATTCAATATATTTTTTTTTTCCTGATAATGTTAATTATATGACAAAAATAATAAGTATCATTAACTATATAAATTTATATATATCTGAATGAAACAACAATTTAAGTTGGATAATTAAATTTTACAATTTATAAATTATCGGCTATGAAAGTTATTGCTTTTTCCTCTGGTGTATATCTTAAACCTTTTTCATTGTAATTTAGTAGCAATTAACAATGATTGTGTTGAATGAACGGAATGATGATGCTGATCATTGATTGCAAAGAGAAATCAAGTGATTTAATTTAAATGGTTCCGGTGATTAAACGTTTTTGATTGTTGTCATTTTCACTGTCATCAATTTTATCGTCGTCGTCGTCGTTGTCTGAGTGATAGTTTCGTAATTGCCAGTTAATTTTGTCACAATTGAATTAAACTAACAATTGATCATCGGGCTTGCGGATAAAAATACCATTTGATTGTAACAAAGTGTATTAATATATAAAAAAAAATTGTTCATCCTCGTGAGGTGTTGATGAATAATTAATCTCTGTAAAAAAACAATGTTGAATGTCAATGTATGAGGATGATAATGATGATGATGAAGATGAAGATGATGATGATGAATGAATTTGAATCCTTTCCATTTTCTCCTCGTTTCTTGGTTTCCAATTACAAGTGAGTATACAACCAATTTAAAATACACAGTAACAATTAGAGAATGACAGAGATAGAGAGAGAGAGAGAGAGAGAGAGAGAGAGAGAGAGAGAGAGAGAGAGAGAGAGAGAGATATTTACAATTAGGTTGACAGGAAACCGAGTTGAAGGTTAGAAAAAATATTCGAAGGTAAGAAAAGAAAAGATTAGGAGGAAATTGTTTCAGAAGATGAAGATAAGTAAGAAGAAAGAAAGAGAGAGAGAGAGAAGAGAGAGAGAGAGAGAGAGAGAGAGAGAGAGAGAGAGAGAGAGAGAGAGAGAGAGAGAGATGGAAGATAATGTAGAGTAGAATTTAGCTCTCGAGAAAATGATTGATACTAATTATACATTTAAACTAATTAAACTGTCAATTGTTCTCATGTTTCTGTTTCAATGACAAAACTTTCATTGACATGGCCTTGCTTAGAGTAGTCATTACCACCACCACCTCTACTTTTACCACCACGTCCACTGGTGTTAATTTCACCACGATTAAAGGTTGTCGTTGAAAAGTTTACATCAATTGGATCTGATGTTGAACCATAATTAGGTGTTGTTATACTTTGAAGAGAGGGTGATGATGATGATGTTGTATTGGTTGTCATTGATGATGACATTGTGGCTGTTGATGATTTACCATTGGATGAAGGTGGTGATTTAAATGGTGATCCATTGATTGTTGGTGAGGTTGAATTTAATTGAAAATGATTGGCTATTGCTTGGTCAACATACTCTTTCATCATAGCACTTTTAGAGGGTGACTTTGATTTACTGTTTCCATCTTTACCTGATTTAAGGTAATTAATGGCATTTGTACTGAAATGTGACTTCTTTAGGCATCTAGATGATTTATTATTTCCGTCGGTAATACCGTTAATTGTATTTGGACGTTTACGATTTGATTTATGGGGTAGTGCGTATCTCAGTTTCTCCCAGAACCATTTTTCACCCCAAACAAGATAAGTTTTCGTGGTCAACAGGAAGATTAACTCTTTGTCCATCTCCTCTCGAGGTGGTAATTCACCTCGAACGATAACAATTAACCGATCAATTTTATCTTCTAACATTTGATAATATGCTGTATGAAATTCAACTTGAAACCAAATCGATGCGATGAAATCTTTTGATAAAATGATAATTGTTCGTCGTGAATTTTGAACAGAGTTAACAATATTCCAAGAGATTAAATTACCCGGAAGCCAATCACGTTCATGTATACAGAGTTTGAAATATTGTGTTGGGTCATCAGGTTCCGAGTTATTAATTGTAATATCACCTTCAGAATAATTACCTGAACCACCACCGCTTGTAGGATTATTAATTGATCTTGAATGGTTATTAGAACGATAATTTCGTGAACCATTATCAGAATCATTGTAAATCGATGAGGAAATATAAGATTTGTCCACAGTTTTAATGTCCGGTCCAACATCGGGTACGATTGTATCATAATTACCCTCATGGATTGAAGGTAAACCTGATTGTGATTGTAAATAGCAAATTGATGTATTTGATATTGTACTTGGTTCTTCAAGTTTCTCAATTAATTGCATAACAATATCACGATCAGCACTTGAATAGGAAACAAATGCATCGTAAATTTTATCTTCATCAATATCATCTTCATGGAAATGTAGGCAAACAAATATTGGATTCAGATGAATATAAAAAAAGGCCAATACTGTTTGCTTGTTTCGATAATATAAAATGGAAACCAATAGTAGGCAAAGTGCCAAAGAGACACAAATAGCTGTCATGGTAAGTAGAACGGTTTGATCCAAGGTTGCCAATTGTGGACATAAAATTGAATCAGGTATGTTAATCAAGGCTGAATTTGAATTGTAATTAACTGTTTCGCAATTAATATCGGCTATATCACCGATAATACGGTAATTGCCTGTTAACCATGATTTAAATTCCCTCATTTGGCAGAAAAATTTATCTCCAGAAGTAGTCATCTCTTCGGGTGTACAATTGTACGGATTGTTACCTAAATAAAGCTTTAAATATTTAGGTAATTGTGATGAGTGTAAATCGACAGCGTTATTGTTGTTGTTGGTGGTGGTGGTTGTGGTCAATGGATTTTTATTACCACCATTGTCTGAATTTGTTGATTGTGTAGAGGAAGAGGAAGATGATGATGATGAGGTACCAGTGTTACTAATTGTTTGATTATTAATTGCTACGGATGTTTGTAGTTCACGTAATTCGTCCAGAAATTCAATGGGAATTGAATGAATATTATTATTACGTAAAGAGATTAGACTAACAATGGCAGCTTTTGGTGGACTAGAAGATTGAAATGATGAGACAGGCGAAGATAATGAAGATGAAGATGATGATGATGGTGATGAGGGTAAATCAGAAATATCTTTTCCTTGGTCTGATTCAGTTGATTCATGATTTGCTTCATTGATTGGGTAAGTAGCCAATTTAAGCAGTTTAACCAATGAATTTGGTATTCTGTCAATTGAATTGTTATCAAAATAAAGTTCAAATGATATTGGTGAGGTGGGGAATCTTTTCCGGGACAAGGTTGAACTTGCTGTTGATGGTGATGATGATGATGATGATGATGATGATCCGGATACTGTTGTTGGTGATAATGGTAAAGAGGATAAAGATTTCATTGAAATTAATCTTTCCAGTGGCTGTAAATCCTTAATCCGATTATTTTGCATTTTCAGAGTAACAGCCTTAATTGGTGTTCCTGATTTAATACCAGGTAGACTTAAATTTTGAAAATTGTCAATATTTACTGTCTCCTTTGGGATAAGGGTTAAATTTTTTGATTGACAATCAATTATCATCCTTTCATCTTGAGCTCGGAACCAACAATTACAGGAAGATGGGCAAACTTTGGTCTTAACAATTGGACAAGTTAAATCAATTGTGTTTAACTCGTAAAATGATTTACCAGCCAAAGTTAATGGTGATGAACATTTTAAATTGTCCGAGGAAATGTCAAATGAAACCTTTTCAACGAGACTATCATATTTAGCCGAGGTACTTGATCGAGTGTATTTAAGTAATGGAAACAGATTACAATCACAATTAAATGGATTCCCTGAGATGAATACTTTAACCTCCGAGGAATCAGTTGAATCAGCGTAGGCTTTGTTTGTATCCAAAATTTCAATGAAAAGTTTCTCATTAATTAGAATTGCATCCATGTTAATTGTTGATATTTGATTGTCTCTCAAGTCAAGGATAATTTTTGATTTAGTTGAATAGAAAATTGGAATTTTAACTTGACCAATTAACTTGTTTGATGATAAGTTAATCTCTTCAATTTCTAAATGAAGATTCCATTGGATTGAATTAAATTCACGATTAAAGTTGGTTAAATTGTTATGGGAAAGGTTAATCTTTTTCAGGTAAGTTCCAAGTCCAAAAGGTATTTTACTTTCACCAGGATTAACTGAGATTAACTGATTTCGAGACAGATCAAGAACTTCCAGATTGGATAAGGTGTAAAAGATATTATTGTTAATTGTGTGTAAATTATTATTACCAATATTTAGAGAGCGTAAATTTTTTAAATGATATAACAGCTTATCAGGAATAAAGGATAAATCATTGTTGTAAAAATTTAGGTTAACCAGATTTGATGAATTTTCGTTAAAAATTTCAGCATCAATTGTCTTAATCCGATTATTTGAAACATCGAGAGTGGTCAGTTTAGGATTACCGGAAAATAGATGAATCTGAGTTAAATTGGTGAGTAAATTTCCTTTGAGTTCAATTTTTTCCAAATTACTTGCGTAGGAGAAAAATTTAGCCGGATTAATGGTAAATTTGTTTAAATTACAATCGTTAATTGTTATATCTCTTAAATTGTGTAAACCTTTCAAAAGATCAACAGGTAAAAGTGATAACTCTCGATTAGAGCTTAAATCAAGAGAGGTAAGTAAAGGTGTAGAGGTGAAGAGATTCAATGGTAAAGTGATGAAATTGTTTCCTTTGATTCTTAATTGTTTCAATTTACTTGTATCCTTGAGAAGTGAATCAGGTAATAATTGAATCTTATTGCTAAATAGGTCAAGGACTTCCAGCTCTTTGAGATTCGTAAATGCAAATGGATGAAGAGATTCAATTGAGTTTCTCATCAGGTAAAGACGTTTCAATTTTCGTCCTGAACCTGAGAAAAGGTTCTCAGGTATATGAGTAAGTATATTTGAACGAAGATCTAATTGTTCCAGGTTATTTAAATTGTTTAAAAGGGTTTTCAATATAATTGCATTGTCCGTTGATTTGGTGACCAGAAAATTATAGAGTACAAGTGACTTTAAAATGGGAAAATAGGAACCAAAACTAAAATCAATTGGGTTAGACAATCGATATTGAAATGATGATTGAGATTCTTGATGACCAATACCGCTAATGGGTACAAGAGATGATTTATCAGCTGATAGATCGCCAATCTCAGGTTTGAGAGAGTCGTAAGGTAAGGAGATTGAAGGAGTGGTGGGTAGTGACAAAGGTTTGGTATCGGCTGATCCGAGGCCACTGGTGGGTGAAAATGCGGATAAAGTTGATGATTTATGGATAATCTCATCTTTAGGTTGACTCTCAATCCTTTTATCTGGGCTGATATTATGATTATTATCATGATTGTTTACATTCATTTCAATAAACTCTTTCGCTTTGGGTTGCTTATTATTATCATGATTATTATGATTACTGTTAACAGGTAATTTAGACAATTGAATGGGTGATGTTGTCGGTTTTTTTGTTGTGGTAGTCATTGTAAGTGATGATGATGAAGCTCCTGGTGTTATTGTTGTTTCTGAAACAGTTAAAGGTACTTTTGTTACTATTGTTGATGATGAAATTGTTGGTTTCATTGTTGGCAAAACTGTTAATCCTGCTGGCAGGTCAAAATCTATTGAACCAGATGATGGTGGCGGTGATGATGATGATGATGATGATGATGGCGATAACGACGAGGATGATGACGCTGATGATAATACAACTGGTGATGTAGACAATGATTGGCCAAAATTTGGATTAACGGTAACTTTTCGTTCATCATTATTAGTGAAATATTTTGAATCGCCATCAAATTTTTCACTAATATTCAATCGTGAACCAAATGAACGTTTAAATCGACGGCCAATTCTTGAGGCACCTCTTCCTCTCTCCTCAAATCCACCAAGTGTTAACCTTTCACTATTAACACCACCAGCAGAACCAGTGTTGGTGCTGGTTGGTGTTATGGGAATTGAGATAATATAATTCTCAAGAGTTAATTGCTCCAAACGGTCAAGACCATGAAATAGGTGTTTCAATTGTTTAACATCAATTTTAATTGGAGTCACACGCCTCAACTCTAATGAACGGATACCTTTAACCTTACTGTTTCTCCCTGTTGTCAGTACATCAGGATCACTGCCACTCCCAATATCATCTGAACCACCGCCTTGTTGTGAATTACCATTGCCACGGTTTGGTTGGTTTTTATTAACAACAGATTCTTTATTATTTAACCCAACCGATGTCCGATGAAAGATCAGATTGAAAGGCACTGTTGGCAACGAACAGTTGATCACACGGAAAGAGTCAATTTCATTGACTCCGAAACCTATTCAACCAGAAGAAGAGAAAAGAAGTGGAAAAAAAGAGAGAAAATCAGTCATTTGGTGTTGATGATTATCATAAAAGAAGAAGAAGAGTAAATGTTGCAAGAAGAAGAAAAAGAAATAGAGAGAGAGAGAAAAGGAGAGAATATCTAATTGATGTAGAAGAAAAAAATTCTACATCTCATCAAGTTTCAAAAAGCGAATAGAATTTGATGATTGAGAGAACTTTTTTTTTTCTTTTCTCTTGTTGTTAAAGGGTAAACATAGAATCTCTTTGGTTTCTTCTTACAATAGATTAAATTGTAAAATTCTGTCTGGGAGTTAATTAGATTTACAATTAGATTGGATCAGTTTGAAAATCAAATTACAAATTAAGTTAACATTTGATCATTAAGGTTGACCTGATATATGATTGACATTTCCGAGCAAATGGAAAGTAAATAATGAGAAAAGAGAGAGAGAAAAATGATGAATCCATCAAGAAGAAGATATTTCATCATTTGGTCTACCATTTTGATAATCATCATCATCAGAATCTCATCATCATGAAAATTACTGTCATCACACCTCATTAATGGTTCAATTTTCTTCATGGAACTTGTTATTAGATGATTTTGATTATTTGTTCACCCTTTTTACCAATGAAAAGATAATCATAATCATCATCAAATTTAATCACACAAACGATTCAATTTATTCTGAATGAGAGTTACAATATAAATATTATTTTTTTTACTCTCTCTCTCTCTCCTTTACCTGTTCAACTATTTACTTATCAGGTAATAGACATTTATTGTGATTGGCTTGATTGTAATTATCTGACTTGCTCATTATTATTATTGTTATTGTTATTATTTCAATTCCCTTTCAGAATCAAGTTGTGAGATTAACAATAAACCAAACAAACAACAACAACAACAACAATAATAATAATCATCATCATCATGATTGAAGTAACAAGGTTTTACCAGGGTAAGTTAAACCAACAACCGTAACATCAACATAACGGCAAGAATTTGAAACTGAATTGAAAGTTGTGATTTTTCACCATTGAAACATTAATCTCACTTAATCGATCGACTGAAATCAATGGTGATTTCCAATCAATCCTCTTAACTTACCTTGAAACATTGCAGGTTGAAATTCAGGTGAACTATCATAACAGTTGATCTCAATATAACGGGAGACCACATATTTGATAATAAAGGCAATTGGTAACGCTGAATATTGAACTGTTTCAGAATCTACAGTAGATTCTGAGCTTTCATCGTTTGGTTCAGTTAAAGAATATTCCTGATAACAAAGAATTTCCCATGATGGTGCTGATTCCCTTGTTTCAGTGGTACAATCACAGACAATTTTAGATGATGAAGAAGATGATGATGATAAAGGTGAAACTGTTGATGTTGATGTTGTTGTTGTTGTTGTTGCTATAGATGATGATGGTAATAGAAGTGAATTTGTTGTTCCCTTTGTTAATCCCGATTTAACTGTTAAAGATGAACGTAGTTCAATCGGTGGACATATATTATAACAATTGATTATCCTAATTAATATGAATAAAAAATTAAAAACAAAGGTAATAACCATATTAATAAAAAGGTAAAATCTTTTTTTCTTGTCACATTATGTGATGGATTAACTTGATACTCAAGGAGTGACACCAATACAATTACAGGTAATTTTTATTTCCCTTCTTCCTCACCACTGAGAGATGGCGCTTCGAATGTTACATTTTTTTCAGAATTTCGACTCAGCGACATCTATCGGTGGAAATGATAACCTTTCTTATGATTAGAATTTCAAATTGACCAAAATTTGGACAATTAGTTGATTGTCTGGAATTTACTTGTTATCCGTTTGATGGGTAATAGTTAATTGGACTTTGGTGATCTTGTTTAATCTTTAATTGTAATAGGAAGTTTTCATGAACGCAATTGTGTTTTGCTTCGGGATGATTAGTTAATTGTTGTCGTTGTTGTTAATTAGTTGGAGGTGGTGGTGGTTAATAGATTAATCATTTTGTTTTTGTTTTAATTGATATTATGTTATGTTTAAGTGGGAGTAAATTAACTAATTGTTTGAGGTGATTTGTTAGTTTTCATTTATGGTAAATTGTCACAATTAGTTTGATTGATTAGTAAATTGTTATTGAGTTTTTGTTTATTATTATTGTTGATTGAATTGTTTCATATTAAGTATCAATTTGATGATTTGAATTGTTTGTATTGATTGTTGATTTTGTTTCTCATCATTATGGTTGATTGTAATTAAATCAATGTTTGTATTATGATGATCAATCAACAATTAATGGTAATGAAATTTTTTCACTCACAGTGAAAGTTATGGTTAGTGAACTTTATCAACGTAATCATAAAGTTAAATCAATTCAGTTGAATAACTCTAATTGTTGATTATAGTTAACTGATTGTTTTGTATTAATTGTTTAATTTTTTGAGAGAAAACTAAAGTTAATTGTTGTTTTTGCAACCAAAATCAATCGGTAAACGTTGTTGATTTATTTTCCATGTATTTTCATGGTTGGATTATCAAAACTTTTCTAATTGTCAACAATCAACAAAAAAATTCACTGCAATTTACTAATTACTTTTTTCTCTCAAAATTTACTTCCTACTAAATATTAGCAGCAATTGATTAAGATTGTTAATTGTTGACCTTTTTTTCATGGTTAACAAATTGTTGTTGTTGTTGAAGCAAATAAAAAAACAAAATAATTTTGTCAACAAATTAACATTACAATTTGATTAACAGTCACAATCAATTACACAATTAATTTGATTTAAAGTGATGATTAAATTTCAATGTTAACCAATAAGAAACAAAATTGCGACCACGAAAATTAATCTAATTACTTTTGAACAACTTACAATTAACTGATCATAATTTTCATTATTTAAATTTAAGTCAATCAAGACAATCATTTAGACTGATTAACCTAATTTCAAGTTAATTGTCTATTTGGTTGCAACTAAATTAGTGAACAATAAGTTGCAATTATTAATTTAGTTTGTTTAATTGCACTGGTTAACAAATTGTTAGATTTATATTATAAATCAATGTTATTGTTTACCAACCAAGATAATTACACACCAATAGCAATTCAAATTGTTGATCAATATACACTTAACAATTAGTGGAGATATAATTTAATTGTTCATTAATTCATATCTTTTGTTTTAGGACAATTAATTATAAACAATTTGAATACCAAAGTTGATTAGTTTATCAAAATATTAGAGACAAGGTTTTGTTAATTGTTGTTGTTGTTGATTAATAATAACATCAAATTATCATCATTAATGATTAAGGTTTTGATTGTCAAAAAGTAATGACAATTCAGATTGGGTGAAATGATTTTCTAATTGTCATCATTTTATTTTGCAGGCAATTAACTTAATTATAAATGGTTAATCATTAATATTAGACTGATTTCTCATCCCAATGATTAGTGTTAATCATTTGTGATAATATGAAAAAAACTTTTCACTCCGATTAAGTTCAATTATCATTATCAATTGTAACAATTTATTAATTGTGATTGTGGTTGGCAGTTTGTTAAGAAATAAATTGTAAATGATAATCAATAAAACAATGATTAAATTTGATTCATTTGCTGGTGTAGTTGGTTAAGTTTTGGGTGATTAACTATTTGCAATTTAGTTAATTGTTCACATTTTGTCAACCTGATTAGATTTTACCTTCTAACTATTGAATCAAATTGTGACCCTTTGGTAAATTAAATCAATTGATATTGATTGTTGGCAACGGAAAAATAAATAAATCAATTAATTGATTGTATAATGAGAATGAGAAATCATTGATTAAATCAGTTCCTGGTTCATGATTTGTCATAATAACAACATTAGATCAACAATTAAGTTAAAATTTCCACTGGTTAATCAACTGTCATCTTGATAATATTGACAATTGAAACTAATTAAAGTTTAATTACAATTAAATCAAAAATCTTGAGATGCAACAAAAAAACTCAAACTCAAATTCAATGAAAATGAGTTAATTGTTATTCTAACCTTCATTTAATTGTTGTTTTTTTATGTTAATTGTTGCTATCCATAAATAATGATAACTTTTGATAATTAAAGTACAATATCAAAAAAACAGCAAAATGATTAACAGAAAACACAACAATTAAGTAAAAACCTTGTTTTCATTGATTAATTGTAATCAATTGATTAAAATGAAAAAATAAATCATAGATTAATTAACTTTGACTCTCATCTTAGTTGATTACAATTAAATCAACTGATTGCTACGATAGCAAAAAAAAACAAGAAATTCATTCACAATCAAAAGAGGCTTGTAAATTGTTACAATCAAGCGGAAAAAAAGTCCAAACAATTAAAATGAATGGACTGAATTTCACTGATTGTCAGGGAAAAACATTTCAGATTCCCTAAAGTATTTCAATCTAAATCAACAATTTAATTGCAATAATTAATTCACCTTGGTCCTTAATCATCATCATCATCATGAAACCCAAAAACCGGTTGAAAAAAAAAACTGGTTCCTGGTAATTTGTTGATCATCAGCAATTAACTTTATCGATATCATTAGTTAATCAATTGATCAAGTTAATCGTTAAAAACCAAGGGCCAGTAACCTAATTTATATTTACAGCAATTTAACAGCAACAATTAAGTCATTGTATCATCCTGATCAGGAAAAATACTATTAATAAATGTTAATCAACGTCAATGAACATATTAATTAACTTAAGCTACTCTCGTTTTCACAATTTAAATTGTTAACAATTAACTTTAACGGTTATCAAACTTTTTCGTTATCAATTTCTCAATCCAATGTAACGTTAACCTTTTAATGTCTCAACTTTAATTGTACACAACAATCAATCCAATTCAATGTCAACCACTTTTAGTCAACAATTAAAGATGATTAAGATTATAAATGATGATATAAATTAACCAACAATCAGTAGATAATTAAAATAAATAATTCTCATTGATTTGCTGATAACAATTTGAAATCTTTTTCAGGAATTCATCAAGTTCATGAAACGATTAATATGAATACCGTTAATTGTTGTTTCGTTAGACTGTTTAACTTCCTGATAATTTACTAATTGTTATCTTCATGGTTAACGAAAGGTTTGTCACTACGAATCAATTGTTATGCAAATAAACATCATGATTAAGCTTGATTATCGCTATGGAAGCTGAAACAATTAACTGAAACACTTTTTAGTTAATCAGTTTGTTTGAGCTTGAAAAAATTGGACTTTTTGTTTTGTTTTGTCTTTTCATTAACTAATTAAGTTTCATTGTGGGAAATTAACTAATTATGGGAATAGAAAATTACTTTAGGAAGTTTAATTATAACAATTAAGTTAGAAATTAGGATTTTGTTGACATTTTTTGTTTCCATTCATTTGTATTAAAGGAAAAAGTTTCAATTGTTACGGAAAAAAAGTAACAATCCTCACGAAATCAATAAATCACTTGGATATAAAATTTGACGAAATTGATTAACAATTAAGGTTATTTACTAACAATCATTACCATGGGAATCCCATGAAAAACCTGATTGATCAACAATCAAATCAGTTGATTGGTTTCACTTTGATCAACTCACTTGAAAAGTTTTCTACTGGTTAATTGTTAAATATTTACTCAGATTAATACGATTAAATTGTATTAACAATCAACTATTAAAACTGAATTAAGTAGTATAACATTTGTGAGTTAATAACAATCAGCCCAACGATTAACTTAATTGTAAATTTATATCCTTTTTTAATCGACTAATTCAATTGATTGAAAAAAAAAATGATTAAAATGCTATTTGATCAATAGTTGTTGATTTAATCTAAATATCAACAATTAAACTTGATCATTAGTTGATGAAAATATGATTAATCGATTGGCAATTTAAAGAAGAGAGAAAAATCTAAAAGTTAGTTAATTAAACAATCGACTTTGGTAGCAAGTTAATTAAAATTTGGTCACAATGATTAACCCTGACAATGAAAAATACACAATTGAATTAAAATCAACTCATGTAAGAAACAATTACAATTGTGATCTGATGTTCAATCAAACAAAGTTAATCACAAACAATAAAGTAACAATTATAATCACCAATCAACCATTAATTGTTATCACAATTAACGAGAAAAAAGTTTTTCCCTTTACTTTAATCAAACAATTTGAATTATTAAACTTTAATAGACAAAATGTTTCAATGGCCTAATCGATAAACCAAAATATTATCAAGTCAACAATTAACTTAATCAAGGTAAAAAAAAAACACCAACAATCAATCAATCAATTGAAAGTAAAAAAATGATAAAAAAGTTTCGTTAAGTGTCATCGTTGTAACGATTTAGTTGATAACTATTAATGTCGTTTGGATGTTAATCATTGTCACAATTAGATGACTAAGATTAGCATTTAATTGTCGAGCCAACTCCGGTTAATTGTTTGTCAGACTAGTTGGTAGTGAGAAAACCTTTCTACTTTCTTAATTGTTAACAATACAAATGATACAATTTAAGGTAAGCCAACAATTGTCAACTCAATACACTCACTCAAATGTATCATGTATTTAAAGTTAGAAAGTTTAACAATCAAAATGAAAGTTAACAAAGTATTAAGATTTAATCACAATCTTTTATATATATCAATACATATATGAATCAACGTTGAATAAGGTTTCACCTCCTTCACCAAATTAAAAGTTAATCATCAACAATTAACTAAATAAAAGGTTTCCAAAAGCCTCGACCTCATTTAGTCAAAGGTAACCATTCTGATTTTACCGTTAACTTGATTTTTTTTTCATTCGATTTGCAGTTAATTTGATTATTTGATTTACTCAATTAGATTCACACTTAGTCAACAACAATCAACAGACAACATGAAAAAAAAAGGTTTACCTTTTTAAATTTGACTCTTTCTTTCAAAACTTATTCACCAACTTTTCATGAGATAATAATGAGTAAAAATGAACTTTTTTCATCAACTCATCTTGACTTTTTCTTATATTATTATCGAGTGTGTGTGTGTGTGTTTATATGAATTAAGTTTCATTGATTTCAATCAACTTTTCTAATTTCAGTTTAGACAAAATCTCAGGAAAACCTTATCATGAAAATCTGTCAGTCATCAAAGTAAAAGTTCAATCATGACATGGAATCTTCATCATCTTATCAAAAGTTCAGTCAGAAAACTCAGTCTGGTGTATCAACAACAAAGGATAATCAAGTTGGCAAAGATTTCATCAAATTTGTATTATATTGGAATCATTGAGTTAATTTAGTTGATTGAAATTTTCACCATCAAAATAATTAGTAAATCAAATGAACCAACAGTTTGTTTATCTTTTCACAATCTAATTGACAATTAGCTCAACAATTTACTACAAAAACTTTTCACTGTTTACTGGTTTATCCTTATTGTCCAGGATTATAAATGGTCAGTCAATGTGTCAAGGATAACCAAATTAAGATTAATTGTCTCTGTTGATTATTCACTTGATTATAATCAACAATTTGATTATGATGATAAACTTTTTTTCGGTAATATTTTTGTTTATCAAGGTTTTTTTTCATCATATAACCAAGGACAATGGGGAAAATTTATTTCCATGATGCTTCATGAATACTTAATTGTAATACTTTCACCATCATCGTAATAATATAAAAAAAATACCAGTTTAAAGCCTTAATCATTGTAATCAACTTTTTAATGATTAACCAAAAAAAAAATTGGTGAAAATTTTCAAGGGAAAAGTTTTTTCCGTATGTGGCGCCATCTCTTGGACAACGAATGAACTTTAATTCAAATTGACCCAAATTTTTGGCAATTGTTTATTTTTAATGTCTTTTTGTTTGATTTACCTGATTGATTGTGATTATAAACTGATAACAATTTATATTTACTTTTTCAACATAATTAAATTAAACGTCTACCCTGTCAGAATATGTATATAAATGTGAACGGAAACCATTGAAAACCGGAGATTGAGCAAGAAAACAGGAAATTAAGGTGAAAATTTTAAATTGTCAATTTTGAGATTTGTGTTACTAAATTGTTAACAATTGTTATTAGTTTTTCTTGATTGTCAAACTATTAAATCAACAATAAGCTTGTTTATTACTCTAATCCAATATATATATAATATTATATAAATATACTATAAGATTGATTGTCAGAATCACTAATCAGTATTTACAATCATTAATTTAGTTTATCGATCAAATGAAAATCAATTTCCTTTAGAAACAATTTAAAAGATTTAATCACAATCATAATTGATGTTTAATTTAATTTACAGTTGATTAGCTAGTAAAAGGGAAAGTTAATTTTATTTAATTAACTTTTTCATGATACATTTTGAATATAAACTAAAATATAAATCAAGTAATTCTGTAACTTTGTAAATAAAATAAAAAAGTTCTAATGATAAAATCAAAGTTATCGAAAGTTAATCAATTTTTTATTAGAACAGAAAAAAAGTTTCAAAACTTTATTTGAACTTGGAACAATATTTTTTTTTGTTGAAAAAAGGCTCTTGTGGTCAGTTTTAGGTGTGGGTGAGTGGACTGAATGAAATTTTTTCTGTTTACTATCAAATATTAATAAAATAAAAGGCTTTGGGTCTTCGGACTGACCAATAAGCTGAAGTAATAATGTAGCTTGAAATTGTAACGAAAAGAGTAAAATAAAATATATAAAATCCAATGGTCAGTGAAGATAAAATAATATCAAGTATTACAATTGAAATTGGGATGACGTTTGAGTAAGATGAAGCTTCTTGAAAGATTTGTGAGATGGTCAAGTGAAAATAGTGACCAGTAGTTAAGGCAAAGAGAGAGAGAAAATCAAGATGAGAGGATGGAGAGAGAAAAAATCCGATAAAAGGGAGACTGAGAGAGGAAAAGATAATGACAATGGTCAAGAAGTACAAATAAGAATCGATTGGTTAACAATTATAATTGATAATATTTTCCATCTTCATCTTTATCATGTTGACTTTTACAGTTTATCTTTTACCTACTAACTTTTAGAGTGAAACATTTTCATTTATGATTATATATTGGCTTTTGATATTGACTTGAAATTATGGTAATAAGAGTTGTGGGTGATGATGATGATGAAGATGGGGATGAGAATTGAGAGAGAGAGAGTAAGTGAGGGAGAATAAAAAAGAATAAAAGTTGAAAAGTGGGAGGTCGATGAGCTTACATAAGTTTAAGAACTTTGCTAGTTTTAGAAGGAGAGAGGAAAGAATGATGATGAAATTGATGAGAAGAAGATGATAGAATGGAAGAGAAATTGAAAAGGGTGGAAGATAAATGAAGATTCTGAATGAATCTTGCTCAGTGGAGGTTATAGGATTTTCACCATGGGTAGAAACTAACGTAATATAACTTGAGCTATTCAGCGAAACTGAAAGTAGTAGTAACTGTCTTCTTCTCAGAGAGAGATAAACATTTACCGTTAGAAGAACAAGAAAAAAAAAGAAAATTTTTTTTTCCTTCTCATCTCCAACAACAATCTTCTTTAATGATAATGATTTAAGTGATGAAGATGATGAAGATTAGACAAGGAGGAAGAAGATGATGATGATGAAATTGCAATAATTCGAAATTCTGTTTGTATTCTATTCGTTTTCATGGATCTTTTCAAATTTCTCTCCATCTTCATCTTCCACTGATTACCAACAATTTACTCTCATTTTCCCTTGTGTTTCTATCATCCCAATCATCATCTTTGGTCATCTTTGTGTCCACTTCGTCCTCATCCCTCTTCTAATACTAATCAACAGATTCTTGACCATCTAAACCAATGATTATTACTACTCATCATCTCTGTTAATATTTATCTCTCCATCATCATCTTATTCAGACAAAATAATAACTCAAACTGACCACTAGTCAACCTCTTATTGGACACATATAAATATCCAAGTATAATTGTATTGTCCAGTTATTTGAAAGTGATCACCATTTAATTGTTATGTTTTAATTGTCATCAAGAGTGTCATAATTATTACCAAAATCATGATTCAGTATCATGATTAGTGTTTGAATTTTTTTCCCCACTTTCTTGGTTCACCAATGAAATGATTTTAATTAGTTTACCATTGGAATCAAATCAATTGTTATTATTATCATCATCATCACAATCTAATCAATATCAACAACAATTTAAGAGTCAAGATCAATGTTTATTTTCATAATTTTCGTGCTAATCAATTGGTTAATTTTATCATTTTTTTCACCTTCAACCTTATTATCAATACCGCCGTCAACGATATTAAGGTCACAATTATCGTCGGTAAAAATGGACACTTTTTTTGACAATTTAGCAAATCTTTCATTCTTTAACAATCAATCATTAATTGATTCACTTAATTCATCAACATTAGCCAATAGTTTTCTTGCTGAATGTGATTATGTAGCTGATGCAGCAAACCGATTAGCTGAAGATGTTAATAGTAATCATCATTTTATTATTAATGATTCATCTATATCTTCACAATTAAGTATATCATCGTTAACTTCATCATCATTATCATCATCTTTAGCCTTGGGATCATCTCCATCATCATCTCAGTCAATTTCATCTTCACCACAAGAATCGCAATCATCGTCATCTCCACCTATCGATTATCCCTCATCGTCATTACCCAATATCGAAGTGGCCTCCGTGGCAGCGGAAACTTGTAACACTCTGAATATATTTCCAAATTCAACAATTTGCAAGGATCCATCTTATTATGCGGTTTCATACAGAATCATTGGAACCATTTTTCAGGGATTCATCTTAATCATAGGTAAATTTATCACCTCAACTCCTCAGCATTTCCTGATAACCAGAATCAAATATCACCATGAAAACAGAGAGAGAGAGAGAGAAAGTCAAATCATTAGGTTAATCATAATAAAGGTGAAATTTATCATCTCAAGTATCAAAATAATTGGATTGGGAAAAAGACATTACCATTAATAATTAACAATCAACTGTTTCCCTTTTTTTTACATTTGCATGATTATAATAAATTGTGATCACAATAATCCAACCGTAAACAACAATTGTTATAATATCCATAGGATATTAATAATATGGATAAGTACAAGATGATTAATTGTTGATCAATCAAATTAACAGGTTAACACTTTCAACATATTGAAATGTTATTTAATACAATTTGCTGAGGAACAAACAAAAAAAAAAGTTAACCTAATTAACTTTAAGACTTTAAGTTTAATCATTTTCCCATTTGGCTGTGATATGTTATCAAACAATCAATACTATTCAATCATAAATGGTTAATGATTAATGATTAGTTATCAGATACACAAACAGAATCAAATATTATATCACAATCAATCATCAATTCTGATTGGAATCGTTTCCTTTTTATATCTTTCATGATGATGATGATATAAAAATCCAACTCCCATGAATCCAATTCTCACCTTGATGATGATTATCTTGATTCTAAATTACATCAAATCAATAGTTATATTTGCTTCATCTAACGATAAAAACTATCAGTGGATATCATGATAATCATCATGATGATTGTTATTATTAAGATATCAGATTGTGATATCAAAGACCAACGATAAACATGATCATCAACAGGAATGTTAATTAATCGAGTCAAACGTAAAAAAATGAGATATAAATTGTGATGGTTAATTCAGTTCTAGAACAAGATTATTAGTTGATATTAATCTAGTTGATTTTGTTGTTTTTGTTTATTTGGTGACAGTTGATAAAGTTCAATTCTAATTCGATAAAGTTTTCTGGTTCGATAAAATTGAAACATTATTTCAGAATTTGTATTGAATTTGTATAAAGTTCATTGGAAATATTCAATTTCTTCATTAAAGAGAAAGGTAATTGAGTGTATTCCAATAGTCTCAGATTTCCTTGTGAACTCAAATGTTAGAATGTGGTTAGAATTATTATCAATAGAAGTTCAGTTCCAATTTCATGAGACACAATAAAGAGTATTCAGTAGACAGAGAATTAAGCTCATCAAATGTCATCAATAAATCAACAACAATCAACATGAAAAGTTTGAATTTTTTTTCTTCTTAAACAAATTTTGTTCATTTTTCGATTTTTTTTCAGCCTCATCTCATGATCTTTTTGCTTTCATGAGGAAATTCGAGAATTTCATCTGAGAGATTAAAAAGATACATTAACTTTCTCTCTCTTTAATGAGAGGAAACTGAATATTTTTCAATGAACAATTTCAACCATTCGTTTCATTTTTCATGATAAAAGTTCAGTGTTTACTCAGTTCATGTCTACCTGTCTACTATTTGACTCCACCCTGTCAATATTACATGTACAATATTACAATGTAATAACAATAATGATAACTTTAAATTGCAAATTCATCATTTCATCAGTCAGGAAACACAATGCAAGTCACTCAGCAGCAGCAGCGATAACACATGATGTACATTTATGGTGATAGATAAAAGTTCATATCAAGTTGGTGAAAGAAACGAGATAAAATTGAAAATTCTGAAAGATAGAAAAGTTCATTTTTTCCCCCTGGAAAACTGTGGATATAAACAAGATTCTGTCATGGAGACAAAAGAAGAAGAGAAATTTTCTTGTCATGAAGTAACAAACATCCACCACCTCCATTTACCACCTTCACCAATTCCCTCTTTGTATCTCTCTCTCTCTCTCTTGTCATGTTGTGATATTTTACCTCCAACATTCTGTTAACTTATCAGAATCATCAAGTTATCACCAGGGTAAAATTTACGATCATCATGATCATGAGAGAAGAGAAAAAAAAACTTTTCATTTTTTTCTCTCTTAGTTTTGTCGAAATTAAAATATTCTTTTTTTTCCGGTTCACTAGGTGTTCTAGGTAACATCATGGTCGTTATCGTGGTGGTGAAAACGCGTTCAATGCGAACACCGACAAATTGTTACTTGGTCAGTCTTTCAATCGCTGATTTAATGGTGCTAATTGCCGCAGTTCCAAATGAGATAATAGCTTATTACGTTCTGGGCGACCAATGGATCTGGGGAAGGGTGGGTTGTGCTTTATTTATATTTTTCCAATATCTTGGTATTGACGCTTCCTCCCTGTCGATCACGGCCTTTACCGTTGAGCGATACATTGCCATTTGCCACCCGATGAAAGCGCAAAAAGTTTGTACCGTTCATCGTGCCAAACGGATTATCCTTAATGTCTGGCTATTTGCCTGTATCTACAATGCCCCATGGTTTTTCCTGACCAAAGTTGAGCCCATTTGTTATCGTTCACTTGAAGATTCAAACCTTGAAACTTGTACATTTGCCTGGTCACGAAAATATTATTTGGGCTACTTTTTTTCGGACCTTGTTTTGTTTTACATTTTCCCGCTTCTCTTATCATGTGTACTTTACGGCCTAATGGCAAGGGTACTTTTCAATAATCCACTTTCTAAAACAATGGGAGCTTCAACATCATCTTCATCTTCATCATCAACAACAGCACAAGCAAATCAAACAACAACAACAACAACAGGATCACTTACAACAGGAACAACATCAGTAACAACCTCTCATCACAGTTTAATCACAAGTAAACTATCAAATTCATCATCTCATCATCAGAATCACTCCCATTATCATCATTCTCATCATCATCATCATCATCATCATCCACAGATTGCTCAAAGCACACAATCAAAAAAATCATCGTCCGCTTCAAATGATTCCTCAAGGGTCCAGGTAAGTAAATAATTAATCATCATCATCATCATCTTCATGAAGATAAACACTCAGAGATGTAGTTTATCATCATCAAAATCTTAATTCTTTGGGTGATTAAAATTCACTCCCATTCTCTAAGTTTATGTTGACATATATTGTTAGAAGATGAAATGTATTGAAAGTTTCATGGGGACACTGAACAAAAAGTCAATTCTTAATCAGAATTTTTCTCCCTCTTATATTTCCCAAGGAAATGTCGCAGATGAAGTAAAAAAATTCTAGAATCAAGAAATCAATACGATAATTAACTGATTCCATGTATCATCCCATCAACATGATCATCACTTTAATCATTATCATCAGTTAATTGTTGATGATTAGTATTCTTCAACTTGCTCCTTATTCCGATAACTTTTTTTTCCATCTTAAGATGAATTTTTTTTTCATTTCCATTGGATAACCTTAATCATCTACCCTCAGGCTATTTTATCATTTTTGTTTTTTGTATCATCATGATGATGAGCAGTCAACATTACAGTTGAATAATAATATTAGTTGAACTTAGTTAACTCTGTTAATAGCAGATAAATATATATTAATCAACCAAATCGCTCCAGTAAACAGTTGATAATATTATCATCTTCATGAGAGAGAGAGAGAGAGAGAGAGAGAGAGAGTTAAAGAGGGAGCAGGAAGATACAGATAGAGAATTTCTTGTTTTCGATTTTTTTTCTTTTCGATAATCTTTACTGTTATTTTTTTCTCTCTCATCATCTTAATCACCTTGAGACATTTTATTCACTTCTACTTTATCCTCGTTTTCCTGGTGATATTATTATTACTCGTATTAAGATCATTATTATTGGTTATTGATTAATATACTCTTAATAATCTTCTTGACTCACTATCTCTCTCTCTCTCTCTCTCACTCACTCACTCACTGTCTCACTTCCTCCCTGTTTACATGGGAAGTGATTTATCGAGTTGATAAAAATAGTGATGAGGATGAAAAAAAAGTAATCTCATAAACATTGAACTCTCAGATGATTTTCCAAGCAATCATGTTGATCGTCATCATCATTTTCTCATCATTATTAAACATCATCTTCCCTTCAATCAATTCAAACTTTTCATCAACTATAATTTCCTCTTGTTGGTTATTTACCTGTTTATTGGTTCATTAAAGTTTCAATCTCTCTCATGATAATATGATTTAACTTTCCAATTTTGAATCATCAAACCACAACTCAGAACTCTTATATTATTAATAAACATAATTATTGTTTTCTTTTCCACTTGGATAATTAATTCAATATCACTTTTGTGATATTATCATGAAACTTTAATCACCATGTCATGAAAGGTAATCAAAAATGATTCAGGACATTTAATCAACTGAAAGATAAGAAACTGATTAACTGTTGATTGATATGATTAAACAACTCGAAAGGGAGAGAGAGAGAGAGAGAGAGTATTAATCTTATTAGCTGAACACTTATCTGAAAAACCTAAATTGTCACAATTAAATTACCACTAATCTTAATCTGTCTTCTTTGTTTATCTCAACTGATAAATCATCATTGAGGTGAAAGTTTTAATGAATTAATTCAATGAGGATTTTGTTTACTCTATTGTTACACCTTAATGTTAATCTGATTTGATTCTGTAAACAAGATAATCCTCATCTCATTAGACTTTACAATGAATCCTTTTGGATCCCATGTTAATCCAGTGCTAATAATAATCGTATCAATCGTAATATTTATTACTGATCTGTGACGTTGATTGTTGACATTTTGATAAACAATCAAATTAATTGTGTAGCTTTTATTACCATAAGCTTATTGTTGTTGTTGTTGATTTTTTTTTTGCACTTTGAGGAGGAAAAAAATCCCAGGGATCATCATGATAACAGGGAAAGAGAACTAGATAGATATGAGATTGAAATATTATTCCCATTTATCAGAACTTTTTTCTTTCTGCTTCTCATCATCAGTGTGATGATAGACAATCATCGTTATTTCAAATTCTAATATAAACAATTGAACCTGAAATTCTGGATTCTCAAATGTTCATTGGGATTCGAGGTTAAATTCTCAGGTTATGTTGATTAACCTTCCTGATCATTTCAAGTTGTGATTGGATTTTTCCCGGTTTGTTTATCATCTTTGTTCATCATGAAATCCAGGAAATGAACTTTTCCTGCTCTTATATAATGACGATAATCCTCAAAAGGGTTAACATATAATTCAACAGATTTTAAACAGCATTTTAAACGTGATTACCAAGATATTTTTACAACTGATTGTAGAAAAGTTCTGTATTCAAATAGCAGAAAATTATTCAATCTTCATGATTCTGATGAGAAAACATTTATTATTATTATGTTTAGACTGAGAATCTATTGTTATATTGACTTTTCAAATTCTCTATGTGAATATTTTCATAATAATAGTTTCTAATTCATTTTTCTCTTTTCAAATTTCACATCATGTACATGGAAAACTAAACAAAAAACAAAAGTTTTATCGACACGTTATTAGGATAATATCATGATATATGATGAAGATTATTCAGAACTTGAAATGGTTGATATTTGTCTTGATATTCAGACAGAAAAAGAGCAAAAAAATTGCAGAATTTTTCTTTTCTCTGTTATCAATTATCCTTATATACGATTTCTGAATATATTACACTGATTCTATTCATCAAACATCATTCGGATACAAATTGATCTCATTAACAATTTGTTACTGTTGCTTTGTTCAGAACTCATATCTCTCAGGGTGAAATTGAATAAACAGTCATCATGATGACTTTTCCTTTTCCTTTTCCTTTTCTGTCTCAGTCTTTTTGTTTACCTTCTTAGTCTTCCCATGATTCAACATGAAGATATTAAAATCAATGTTTCAACATTTGGAATTGCAATTTATATCTAATATCTAATTCTGTTGAGTTTATGTATTATTTATACTATTCACTGTTAACTGAACATTATCTCATATTTTATGTTGCACTTTTGCTTGAGTTTGCTTTTTTTTCTGTCAGTGATTCACCTGAACGACCCCAAGTGAATGTTTACCATGTTTATCAGAACTTTTCATTTTCTCAGTCATCAAGTCACAACAATAAATTTCCAATAGAGAAAAGAACAGAAAAATTACTCAGTTAATCTGTATAAGATTCTTAAAGTTTTCCTAAATCCTATTGAGATGGAGATGGAGATTCAAATAAGTTAAGAAACATGGATAAGAATTCAACTTAGAATCAATTTCCATCTTCAGTTATAACTGTTTCTCTCTGAACAAAACGTCAGAATAAATGTTGAAATAGAAGTTGGGTTCACCCTCAAGTCTATTCTTTTCTCGTTTTTTTTCAATCTTCTATCCATCCAGTCAACCCTTTCTCCCTATTTATTGCTTTTATTACACCGATTTTCAGGGAGAAAGATTCATATTATATAATCATGTCAATCCATTGATCCAAATTTAAATTGATGGTTGTGATAGAAGAAAAGTTCTGGAGAGAGAGAGAGAGAGAGAGATGAAGAGGTTGAAGGCCGGAATGAAGAAGATATCAAATAAAGTGAATGATAAAGTGGGTGGGAAAAAATGACGATAATGAGTAATATTGTAATTCCAGTGAATGATTATCATGCTTGGTTATTTAATATGAAATTAATTCCTCTCGATTGATTCCCTATTATTATTATCATTCCCTTATTTTCGGAGTCATTTTATTTTTCATCTAATATAATGAACTTATTATGTATTTATGATTAACATTATGTGGATGGTGATTGTTTTTTTTTCAATCAAGGTTAAAGGTTATTTATGTTTTCATAGAGATTCAGTGAGAGAGACAGAGACAGAGAGATGAGTTTTTCTTCCAGGTCAAAGATGGTTTCATGAAAACACCCAAACCAGGAAGTGTACATAGATTAGTTGGATTGGCACAGAGAAAAGGAGAATCGTTTTAAAGGCGGAAAAGGAAGAGGAAGAAAGAAGAAAATTACAAGGAAGATGATAAGATGATAATGATAATGAAGAAAAGATAATAATAATAAAATCAATTGTATTTCATGAGGAGAAAAACTTTTATCTCGAATCATGTTCATCATCTAATCATTAGATCTTAACACTTACACAGAGACTAAATGATGATGAAGAGAATGAAAAAAAAACACTAAGATGATAACTTATCATTCTCTCTCTCTCTCCATGAAAGTAGATATTCTGATAAGTTCTGAAAAATTCTGAGGCAATATCATGAATTATGTATTGTTATAAGATACATGTCTCTCTCTCTCTCACTCTTACTCTCCCTCTATCATTATGTTACCATGTACATGGAGATGATGATTCCCCATGAACACTGAATTTCCTAAGAACAAAAGAATGTGCCTGATGATAATAAATTTTTTCTTCTCTCTCTCTCTAGATGAAGATGAGGATGGAAAATAGAAGAAGAAGAAAAAAATCAAAGAGTTAAAACATAAAGGTGAAGATGATGAAGACAATGATGATGATGATGATAAGCTTGATGATTATTAAAATGACAAAAGATATTGATGATGAGGATGCGATATATTTATTAATAATGCCAACTTATCACGATGCCAATACTTATGGGTTATGATGTATAATTTATTACTTAATAACTTATTAAACTATGAAACTAATAATATTTTTTTTTCATCTTCTCGTTATTACTCAACAATTAACCAGAATTAACTTTAATTATCTAATGCATTAATATCAATATGATTGATATATATTTTTATGTTGTGATGTAAGAAAACAAATCATCCTCATCTACTAAATGATTAACATAAATCAATTGTTATCTCATTATTATATTAATATCTGAAAATTTCAATATAATCAGTCTCGTTAATTTTATCCACCATTATCATGGTAAATTGTGACTCATTTTAATATAATATTATTTTCATCATAATAATAATCATTTGCATCCTCATCCTCATCTTATTGTTGTTTCTTGTTTGTCAATTATTA